GTGGGATTAGGGGTGGGTATGGGATGGCTTACAGAACCCTGTCGTGGCGATGGAGATGATGGTGTTGAAGCCGGTGACTGTGCCGAAGTAGATCGAGTTGAACGCGATTTGGACCAGGGTCGTTGCGAGGATGGCGTTTAGAGGGATGTGGTGCTTGCTGGTTACTTTGGACAGAGCCCTTGAGAAGGGCAGGCCATGGTCCCTAGCAAACGCGAAGAGCGATCTCGAGCCCTCTGCGATTAGACTCACAGAGCAGATGAGCACAATGACCGTCATCATGCTCGCCATAAAGCAAGCCCCGAGTTTACTACCGGTGGAATCGTAGAAGATCTGGATGACGGGGACACCGGTGCTCGACGCAGCGGTCGTTTCGATATCGCCGATGCAGAAGCACAATGTCAGCAAGAAGACGAACCCTGTCACGGCGCCGAGGCCAACACTCATAATCATGGCCTTGGGCGCATCCCGCGAGGGCTGCTTCATTTCCTCAGTCATATGGCTGGGTGCATCGTAGCAGCACATGCCGAAAAAGCTCTGAAGGATGCCGATGATAGTAGCCATGGCTTGCCCGAAGCCGGTAAAGTTCTGGAAATCGCGGAAGACGAAAGGGGCGGCTTGCTTGTGGCTGTTTGTGGCAAGGAGGACGACGGTGATGATGATGAAGGAGCAGATGTTCCAGACCAGGATTGTCCGAGATAGACGGTTGAGGAGGTGCGGCGCAAAGACATTTGTTAGTAAAGCGCTGAATGCCACGGCGTATGTGACCAGGACCGTGTGCCAGCGCTCAATGGTGAACTCGGGGAAGACGAGGTTCGCTTGGCCGAGGATGAAGTTCGATGCGACGGAGTTGTTGACGGCGCCCATGGCTAGGATCCCCATGAGCATGAACCAGCCGGTGATGTAGGAGAGCTCGCGGGCGATCCTGGGGGGTGCCAGCAGAGCAACCCAGGAGTATTGGCCTCCGGCGACGGGCCATCGCGAGCACATCTCGGCCATGGAGAGGGCGACAGTTAGGGTGACGACGCAGACGCCGATCCAGCCAAAGATCATGACTGGAGGGCCGCCTGCTTTGACGCCGATGATGAAGACGCCGCTGAGAGCAGTCCAACTGAAGGTGTCAGTTGATGTACAGATTTGGGACAACTAACAGACTCACCAAGTCACGATGCTGAAGCTGAAGCCGATCATGTCCAGCAGGCTGAAGGACCGTTGGAACTCTGCTTCCATCAGCGTCTGTTAGGCTGGCATTCTGCCTGGATTCATACCCTGCTTGTAGCCCAGATGCTCCAGCGCAATGTCCTCGCTGGCCGTCGCGGCGAACACATCTTGACTGGTGGTGTCTTTTCCCGCTGCATCCATCTTGACAGTACCTTGATCATCCCATCTTCTCTTGCAGAGCTCGGAGATGATGCGCTCTACCTATATCACTTTGGTCGATTGGCCGTTATCTGTATTATGGTGCAAGACGAAGGCTTATCTCCTCTTTCTTCAGCATCTCCAACATGCTGATAAGACAATATTCCCCGGCCGTCTCCAGCAACTGCCCTCTCCAGTTAGTCCATGGACAAAGTTCGTCATCGTCATCCTGCAGCGGTTCATTGGTGATCTCCTGTCTTACATACCTGCACGCCCACGTCAGTCGCTCCGCCCGACTCCAATGCATCGGCTAGACCGACTCTTATCATTGCCCATCCGGAAGCTAATATGAAGTAAGTTCGCACGGCCAAGAGGACGGGATATTGCTAATTTGACCCTTGAACAGACCCTCTCGCCTCATGACTCATAAGTGGACCACTGTAGAGTACAGTCTTGGCCATACCTACCCATCCCCGCTGATCCCTCCGGGAGTAGAGAGTACAGCATCACCAAAGCACAACCACAACAGCATCTAGACAAAATGGGCCTCCCAACCATCGCTGTTCTCTTCCTCACCACCTCCCTCCTAGCCCGCACCCTCTACCGGCTATATATCCACCCCCTCGCCCGCGTGCCCGGCCCAAAACTCGCCGCAGCCACATCCCTCTGGCTCGCCTACCACACCTACATCGGGGACGAATGCAGCACGCTCTTCGCGTTACACAAGAAATACGGGCCCGTCCTCCGCATCGCCCCCAACGACATCGACATCGCCTCCGGCGACGCAATCGAGCCCATCTACCTGGCCCGCGGCGGGTTCCCCAAGACCCCCGTGTACAGCAAGTTCGACATAGACGGGCACAGCACGATCTTCTCGAGTCTAAATCTGCCCGAGCGCGCAAGCAGAGCAAAGGCCGTGGCGCCACTGTTCTCGACGGCGAGTATCCGCAATGCACGGGGGACTTTGCTAGGTGTCGTTGATGATTTCGTGGAGAGGGTGCGTCGGGATGCGATTGCGAGCTTGAACTCCAACGACGGCAACGGCAACGGCAAGCCGGTTAATGTCCTTGCGCTGGGAAGGGCTATGGCGATTGATGCTGTGAGCGCGTACCTGTTCCAGGAGCGGTATGGGGCTCTCAAGGAGAGCGAGGAGGTGATGTCTGCGTCGCCGTTCGTGGATGCATATGTGGGTGTTGGCGCATTCTTCAACTTCGATTCCCTGGGCAGGGCAGGCGAGATCCTGGTCAGTCTTTTCGAGTACTTTACGCAGCCTGCGGGGACAGCGAAGTCCTTCACGACTATCGACGACTACACGAGTCGACTGATCAGACAGGCAGTGCCCAAGAGTGGCAGCTACCAAAGTCGTCTTCTAGAACGGGTCTCGTCCGCTCAGTCCCAGGTTGAGGTTAAGGATGTTTGCTTTGCGGGGACGGACTCGACGGGCATGAATACCGCTACGATCATCTGGTATTTGGTCAAGTGTCCTGAAATGTCAGTCTCCTTCTATACAAACCTGTTAGGGTTGATAAGCATGCTGACCATGTCCGGCGATATATAGATATGACCGCCTCCGCACAGCCCTGCAAACAGCTTCCCCAGACACAGACCCCCTCTCAACACCGTACCTTCGCGCCGTAGTCCGCGAAGGCCTGCGCCTCTCCTGGGCGAACCCAATCCGCCTCCCTCGCGCCGTACCAACCGGCGGCTGGAAATACAAGTCGTACTTCTTCCCACCCGGAACAAGCGTCGGTGTCTCAGCATGGCAATTGCACCAGGACGAGACCGTGTTCCCCGACCCGCTATCCTTCAAGCCCGAGCGGTGGCTGGAGCCTAATGTGACGGAGGAAATGCTGAACAATTGGTTCGCGTTCGGGAAAGGGACGAGGGCGTGCATTGCGCAGAATCTGGGGCTTGCTGAGGTGACGATGGCGACGTGGAAGGTTGCGGAGAGTGGGGTGCTACAGGGGGCGAAGGTTGTCGACAGTGAGATTGGGATTCTGGAGTGGTTTAATTCTAGGGTTAAGGGGGAGGAGATTCTGATAAAGTGGGTTGATGCTGGGTTTAGATGACTGGAATGAATTGGCCACGACGCAACGAGACAAAATACCTAGAAATACAAACATTCGACGAAACCCTAGAAATCCACCCCTCCAACTCCAGTCTCAGAGAAAACATGCACGCCATGGAACCCGAACCCAACAACGCCTTGAACAGCTGCCCTCCCAACCTCCTTCAAATCGCGAGCATCAAGCACAAGCAAGTAGCTCATACCGGTCTTCCCATCCAAAACAACACTAAGCAGCACGCCGTCATCCTCGTTCGTACCTTCAGGATCCGCAACGAAGATTGCTTCACTGGGAGACTGCGCGTGCTCAGACCAGATCTTCGTTTCCGAGGTCACAGAGTCGAATTTCATTAGACCGTCGACGAAAGTCGAGAGCCCCCTGTCGATGACTGCGTAGGTATAGCGGTGCGGACGGGTGATGTAGGATGGGTTGAGGGTGGGTAGTTCGGGGGAGAGGCCCCCGCAATTGGTTGACAGGAGGGTTGCGTTTAGCGGGGGGGCTATCTTTGGCTCTTCCTTCGCTTCAACTTCATTGGGGGTTGGGACAGCTGGCAGCCGGAACCGCGCAATACGACTCTGGGCTTTGCCGCTGTGGCCGTTACTCAGTGCATCGGATCGGCGATGCGCTGCGCTTGACGAGGAGACGAGATACTCGTAGTAGAGCTGATACAGGATATCAGTGTTCTCAAGTGTGACGCACTCGGCGATAATGTCTGTTTGTGTGGTTGAGCTGTCGTCTACTTTGCTCGTTTTTTGCCACGCATTGATGGTATGGAAGCAGAAGAATGCCGGACTCTCGTACACCGCAACGAGACCTTGTCCATATCGGTCAACAACGTACCACACCGCCGGAATCTTGTGATCAAACTCCTTCAGCGCGCCTACATACGAAGCCGGCTTCCGGTTGAAGGCTGCAGGTGATAAGTGCGAGTTCCAAACACAGATAATCACATAGTCGTTCGTTAAGAAGAACGAATGCAGATAGGCCGGTGCAGCGGTGAATGTAGCCAGAATGGTCGTTTCGTCTGTTTTCGCGGAGACGCAGAATACGCGGTATGTCGGTATCCCAAACGAGGAAAAAGAGAGGTTGTAGTTGTATATGTCGCCCGTCTCGGGATCGGACTTTGCGTGTGATGCGGAGAGAGGCCCGTCTAGGTCTGGATGGAGGGTCTTCTGAGAGGCTATGCCTAAGGGTTCGAGGGTTGAAGGGTGAAGCTGTTTGTAGGTTGAGTTGTCCGTTTTGGCGGTTAAGGTCTTGATTCGACTAGTGTCTGTGTAGTCGTTGCCATTTGAGAATTGCGAAGGCGGGTCATTCAACCCGGGCATGTTGACAGAGAGAGTAACGCCGGTATTGCTATATGAAGGGCTGTTCGTCCGCGGCTCATACGTAGTCTGGACCTTATGGTACATTGCCTCGCACGGGTCCCTATCCTGAAGCTCGTCCTGGACTCGGTCTTTGAATCCACCAAAGCTGAACTTGTCACCCAGGGAGCCTGTCTCGCGCGCATGTTCAATTAGATCATCGGTTGAGAAGCGGGAGTTGTAGAAGACGCGCATGGGCGAGCCTGCGTCATCAGGAGGAACGAGCTGGAATCGATGGGTCTGGCTGAAGCCGTCGAACCAGTGCGAGACTTGGAAAGTGTTTCCGTGTTTCGTGTCGACTTTGTATCGACCAGGCCCTGTTCGGTAGAGGGTTCCTGCTGCGTAGTAAGGGATACTCCCTGTCACAGATAGCTCAATTGGGGCTCGCTGCTCATGGTTGGCATCGAACTGTATGTGTTAGACGAAACCCGGATACTATGTTCTTGGAGGACTTACACCTCGCTCATTGGGCCAGTTGTTGAAATGAGTAGAATTGGCTGCTTCGATGTCGGACATGTTTGCAGACACCTAGAGCTTAACAACGAATGCTATTGAGAAGCTTGGAGGCAAATATCCTGTTGATGGCTAGGGGGTACTGGGCATTATATTTATACAAAGCATTTGAGATTCAATCCAAACTTGTCAGTGAATAATTATTCGCCTAGAGTTCTCCGGAAGGACGGGCCTGCCAGTGGCCAGTAAGAAGTGAATGTAAGCGATATTGAGGATGGTGAATGGCACTGACAGGTCGACGAATCAATGGGTTGATTATGCGAACCAGAACTTGGCAGCTCAAGCCTCCGAGTCCGAGTCCGAGCCCGCGGACTTCGGAAACCGTTACTTGCCCATTGTTTCCCAGATCTATCGTGCATGTAGTTCTGTAGCTCAATGGATTTCATCCAAACCGTCCTTTTCGACCGAGGCCCGAAGCCATTAGTAGTCTCGTTTGGCCCGTGTAAAAGCAGAAGACGGCTAATGAGTCAACTATTGAAGTCGACGATATGCCTTGTAGCAGACATCCAGAGAAGCATAGAAATTCTGGGGTCCCAAAGACCAGGTGGACAGCGGTGGCCCGGATGCAGGCCGGTGATTTAGTCCTGCGTAGTCTATAACCTGAGCATGGTCAACAGCTGATCCCTCCACCTGCGGGAATCTCCACATCTCATCTTGCTCGGTGGCAGTAGCAGCATTAGCTCCCAGGCGATTATATGAGCATGTCCTTCGTCTGGAATGACACTCGGAACATGGCCGGCCTCCCGAGCACGACCTCTTCGATCTTGCACAGCCGTCACAGGCGTGTTTCTCCTTGCCTCCGGGTCGAGGTTCAGGGATAGATTTGCCGGTTTGAATACGGATGGAGCACAATTTCCAGTGTCGTCTTAGAACATCTCTAACAAATGCAAGCGAGCGGTTAGAGACCCTCCAGGAGTAAGTTGTATTCAGCAGGCACGAACCCTCGCTTATACAGAGAACCGCAAAAGTCGCACAAGAATTGCTTATCTGTCCTGTCTAGTTAGGCATTAGCGCGTACACTCTAAATGTTTCATCTGGAAGAAGCCTCACGTACGCGTTGCTAAATGGCGCTGGAGATGGTCCGCTCGCTGGAAGATAGCGGAGCAGACTTCGCAGGTCCACAAACTCGGGGGTCTGGACTCCCAACGGACCGTGTCTGTGTCTGACTGTCCGTAGGGTATGTCCAAGAACGACTCAAATGGCATGATTCTCAGGTCAACAAATGCTTTGTCAGTGAGATATGCGTAGCGTCAATAAGAAGCAAGCGGCTCTGGTGACAGCCCCCTCGAAAGTCATTCAGTATCTAGCGGGCCAGGCTGCCAAATTCTTACAAACAATACGACCACCTAGATCAACTAGATGACGGTAGAGGCGTTGCTCAGCGTGTCAGAAGTTGGTCTGGTCAAGCTGCCGGTTGAGTTGATGGTTAGACAAGATGTGAACACCATGGCCGGCGGGATTCCCCCGCATCGTATTCCGCCGCGCGCCTCACCTTGGCCAAGCGAGCGACTCTCAAGCCACATAATAACCATTGGAGTCAAGTAAGTCTCCACGATCATCCGATGTTGTCCACAGTGCACCACTCGTCGCCTGCTGCCCCAGCCACTCCTGACATATCGCAATGTCTCCTTCCCCATCATCCCTCCCAAACGGCATCCTCAGCGAAAGATAGCTGATCACCAATTCCGAGTCCGAGCACTTACTTCCTGCACCAGCGCGCCGTAACGCCTCTAATTGCCCAAGAAACGACTCGTTCCATGTACCCTCATCAACCGGTAAATCATGCACAAACCCCAATCCAGTATTGACAATGATAAGCCGCTGCAGTGCTGGCAGGAATTCCAACCCCAATTGCTCCGGGGATACATCCTCGGTTAGGCCGTCGGGTCGGACAAGAACAAGGTGTGTCAAGTTCGAGCACCGGCGCAGACCCTCGATGAACTGGCGAGAGTCGACGGCGACGTTGTACAACCCCAGACGCTGCAGGTTCGGCCAAAAGGACCAAACTGCTGGCTCTAGATTCGGGCCTTGTTCTTGCTCTAGCGTTCCCTGTGGCATGAATGTACCAAGGTAAAGCTCGTCCCGTACGGAGACGAATTCTTCGAGCTGGGTCATGCGGGAGAATGCAGTGCGGAGAATTGGGCGTAGTTGATATACGTCGTCTTCGGGGTAGAGATGACGGAGGGGCATGTCAATAACGAGCCGGGTCAGGTTTTGACTGATGATGGTCGATAGGTGATCTATCCGATCGACCGTAGATGGAATGTTGAGGTTGTGCGCTGGGAATGGGGATAGAAATAGCCCGACGGATGGAAGCCGGCTTCCTGTCGTTAATATGGCGTTTTCATGTAGTAGCTGATTGAGTCGATGCGCAGAGTCGATGCAAAGACAGTGCTTGATGAGCAGTCGTTTTGCTGCTCGGGAGACCAGCTTGAAGGCCAATGTCAGACTGAGGAGTGTGCGAGTGATAACGTCTCCATGACTGAACGCAATCGGGGGACTTGGTGGGATAAGACTTCCAACGATATGCAAGATCAACTCAGCGGGAAGACCTGTCTGGGCCATGACCGCCGACCTTGGTAAATATGGTCGCTATGGTTTTGAAGGCTGATGAAGCCATTCAAACGCAACTACTTATTTCGGGTAGAGTGGCGAATAGGGGAGCATACTCCGTATGGCAACGTTCGAGTAGCAACCGTAAAAAAAGAGCAGGCAAATAAACTTCAGCAAGGGCAGTAAGCTATCAAGCCATACTCATAGAAATGTTCTTCATTGAATGATGCAGTCAGCAAGGAGTCTCAGGATGATTGGAGGCTCTGGTGGCCGTCAAGTCCACTGCAGCGCCGGTCCAATACGGTTCGGTTCGGTACTGTCATTTTCGTGCCTAATTTGCCAAGACCCCTGATGAAGTGCGGTAGTTACCGGTATCACAGCCAACCCCAAGTAACCTATCCCTGCAGGTAATCACATCACCATCTCTACATTCTATGGACAGGACAAGTTCGGCTTCGTCAACAGACTAGTAGTATGGTTGTCTCTCTTCTCACTACGCAGCTGGTAGTCCCAGTTTCCTGGTTTCGTCAACATGTGGACCCGTCTCGGCGACTAATTCTGGGGTGTAGATCCCGACCACGCGAGCGCTCCAAGCAGTGCAGCTGCTGTCCAACATCCTGGGGATGAGCACTGTCCTCTCCATGAGCAGAGCGTGGTCTGATACTTATGTTCGCCGTTGAGATTCGGTCCGGCTGCAGCCATGATGGCCTAATATCGAGGACAGGATGGTTTTCAAGGTCCGGGGACTCATGGTCGCCCCTCGGTAAACTCTATTCATTTTTTGGTCTCGGGGACCATCAGTGTCCACTGCCCATCTCTGCTTTACGCCATATGGATAGGGCTTTCATTCACTCTCTGGTCCCCGAGACAGACCCAGAAAAATGCTCTCTCCCTTGGGTGAATGGTCAGCTCCCAGCAACCGGCCCCGGCCGGGCTTCCCTTGCATCTTTTCTTTGTTGAGAACTTGAGGTCGTGCAGGAATGAGCGGCTTAAACATATGTGACTGTCCAACTCCAGCTTTTCTTTATCATGTTCACACCGGTCCATACCTCGCTAGGCGCTCTTCTGCTCTACCAGAGCTCCTCGAGCCTGCTTCTTCATAATGGCTCGGTCTTTGGCGTCTCTTCCCTTCTCTCAGGGTTCATGCTCAGACCGAGTCGAGACAATGTTCCGATCATTGCCGGTTTGCTGTCAAGCGTGATTCCAATCTATCTATTGATGCCGTCACTGTTACCGACGTACCCGGCAGCACCATCATCATGGGGTTCCATCTTGTCCACGATCGGAACCGGATTTCTCCTCGGCTGGGGAACAAAGGTAGGTTGAATCGATCTTGTTCCGAAGACAAATCGACTAATCCGCGGACTTGTAGAACGGTAGAGGTTGCACGTCGGGCCATATGCTCTGTGGTATCTCGCGCTTATCGCCGCGCTCGTTCATCGCCACGGCCATATTCTTCACAACCGCTATGTTGACGGCCAATTTCGTGTCTGATATTCCGCCGTGCCCAACTGACATCCCTTGCTACACACCCATTTACCCTTCCAGCTCCGAGCTCGGGTTCATCCTGGGTGCGACGGCTATCACGTTCTTGACAAACACCTTCATCGTACCAAAGACCATGGCCAGATCAGAGCTTTCGAGGTCAATGTTCTCCTACTTGGCGGGTATCCAATTTGGAACCGGACTCTTCGTCTCCGGCATGGCCGATCCAGTCAAGGTACTTCGGTTTTTTGCGTTTCTCACCGATCCGGCTCGTTTCGATCCCTCCTTGGCGCTCGTCATTCTTTTCGGGCTGTTGCCGTCACTTATCACGTATTTGTCTGTGAAGCCGGGCCAGAACACCAACCAAAGCAAAGGCAAGCAGGCGAAACCAACGCTGGCGGAAACTTGGAGACTGCCTACAGCTACTGTAGCTGATATCGACTGGCTTTTCGTGGCTGGAGCAGTGGTATTCGGTATAGCTTGGGGTTTGCGAGGAGTATGCCCTGGTCCCGCTGTGCTGCGTTCAGTGCTGCAGCCAAAATGGGGACTTGCGGAAATGGCTGGGTATATGCTGGGAAATTTGATATGAGCTTAAGTGTATTAACCAATCGAATAAAAGCCACCGCTGTAATATCATAGTCTTGGGCAATAGCATGCATTTGCTCGCTTCGATTCACGTTTAAAGACTGGGTAGTGGTCAGAATGTAGCTCAATAGTAAGTGAAAATGAGAATGCAATTGGTAGACCAAAATTTGCCGTATAGATACATCTGAAACTGAAAACGGGTATCCAAGAAACAGATCAGGTATGGCTTACAATTCAGTCTTGTTGCGCTTCATTTCGGTCTTTGATCCCGGCATGAAGCCCTCCAGTTCCATCCACTCGGCGGCGAATCCAGCAATGAGAAGACTCCAATCCTCTACTGTATCGGTGTCGAGGTGTTCACCGTCATCTTTAACACCTTGCATTTCATGCCAGACGGTTGGAAACCCAGATGGACGGTCGGGGGAGTAATCAATAACGTGCAAGATTTCCACCCCGCGTTTAAGAAACGGAACATGGTCATCTCCTAGGTTACCGGAGCCGCCAGATAATTGGCGCTCATTCTTCGAGCTATCAGGAAACCATGTCTTGCCGCTGGACTTGAACACCTTCAGCTCTCTCAGGCGACGTTCAACATTTGCCAGCTTTTGGTAGGCCCAGTGCGTGGTCGAATAAAACGAATGTATTATCGGATCTTTGGAACCCAGCAAGTCTAGGAGAACAAACAAGGATATGGATGAAAGCGGCGTTTTGTAAACCGACATTCCTGGATTTACCTCGGAATCCCAATGCTGGGCGAGCGAGCGAGCTCCATACAATGAATCAGAGTCAGTCCAATACTTGAAGGCTTCTTCGCCGTCCAAGAAAAGGACCTGGATTCCAATGTGGTCGTCCAGGAAATCATCATCGGGAGCCATCGACTCCCACTTCCTCGTTAAAGCGTCGTCAATACTCCTCATAGCATGCATAATCATGGCACACGGAGCGGCGCTATCGATGGCCCCGATAAAGCCCTTGGGCTCATATTTACTATCGTAATGGGCGACCAGGGTAAGTCTCCCCACATCACCCTTTGCTGCGTTGGGGGGATCGCGGTAGGCAATGAAGTTCACAAAGGGGACCTCCTTTCCATCGGACACAGGAGTCACATAGGTTGAATTTTGGAATTCAACGTTCCACTTCGGAAGAGAAGTCCGGAAGAAGTCGGTAAAGTGATTGAGGACCTTCGTGGACCCAGGAGTGCCAGGCACACGAGGAATGAGGATGGGCGAGAGAATAGCGCCGTCATGAATATCAAAGTCCTTTCCTGGCCGCGGGAGCGCCTTTAGGGTCCCATCCGACACGTCCCGATATGCCTCGCTGGGCAGAAGGAAAAACAGAACTGCGAGCCATATTGATAGCAGTGCGCGATGCATGCATTCCGTAGCAGACCTCATCGTGCCTGATGGAGCGTAAAAAGATCCGAGAGATGTAGAGGGAGGGCCGTTGGTGCAACTGAAAGATGTCCAGATTCCTGTAAGCCGCTAAGCCCGATCAGGCAGTCAGCAGCCAAGCCCGCGGCGACCTCATCACGTTCAGCTTCAACCTTGGGTCTTCCGACTAAACAAACTCCCCTCGAAGAGCAAGTTCTCTTCCTGCTGGAATAGTGGTCTGTCTGGGAACGAGCACCCTTTGCCGAAACTTGCTCACCATGAGAGTATCCGTCCTGTTCCATCCGCAATTGCGCTCTGCGCTTCCCCGACCCGTGCGGAGAGAGCTCTGCAGCAGCTTGCTATTTGTCCGATCAAAGGCGACTCACGGCGCGCCTCAACCTTTTAAGAACGCCGCCCTACCCCAGAAACCCCAGAAACCAGAATACCGTCCTATCAATCCTCCGCGGGCTCCGCAACCGTCAACAACACACGCGAAGACTGCTCCGCGGAAAGGTACTCCAAGATTTGCCCTGATTCAATTGAAGTGGTGCTGATATAGTTTGTAGGACCACCGGAGAGGATACTGATATACCATGGAGGAACCGGTCGTACTCTATTCCTTGGAATGCTGCGGATAACTACAATTTTCCTCTTCGGAGTCTCTGTTCTCGTCGTTGCCCCGGCCTTCATGGCCTCCGAGTTTCCGGCATATCTAGGCCCGGCTAGTAAGGACCCCAAGCCTGCATATAATGCGACTTCTTTGCTAATTATTTTTTCTAACAGTCGTCGTCGGCGGCGCCTTGCCCATGCTTTTTGTAGCATATACCTCCGCTCCCTACGTGAACTTTGTCCACCTTGCCCTGCCCGTCACCGTTCGGCGATCACGAGAACAAGCCGTCCAATATGCGAAGAAGCTCCCACCAACCGCTACTCTGTACATAAACACCATGAAGTTCAATACTATACCGAGACAGACCGAGGTGCGACTGGCCGATCTTGTGGCCGACAAGTCAAAGCTTCGCCCTGTGAGCTTTCGAAACAAGAACCCTGCTTCGTTGCCTTGGTGGAGGGGCAAGACTCTGCAGCAATTCTACACGGCAGAGAAAAGCAAACCCGGAAAGGACTCGAGAACATTCTATCCAGAGCTGTGGGAACATGTTTACCAACAGATACGAAGCCAGTCAGGGAAAGCTAACTAAAATCAAGTACTTTCAAAGCCACCTGCTACAACTGAAGATGTAAACTTTAGGCTGTCTTTGTACCTATTCGTGCTCTCACTGATGCCAGTAGACTTGGAGAGATCTTTCTCACAAGCAAATAACTTGCAGACATCCCTGGAGAGTGGGTAGAGGGTTCCTCAGATATTCGCTCACTTGCACGAACCGCCATTGTGTTAATGGCTCCCAGCTCCAATTGGCCTCACTTCTGCCTTGTTTCTTCGACTTAACTTCCTGTCTGCTCGTCTCTCACACTTTATCCCCTGCCACTCCCTTCATTCAAACATCCGCTTTCGATTCTGTCCTGAAACTCCAAATCTCGCAAACACCTTGCTTCCCAAACTACACTTTTCGGCCATGGCTACCGCAGGCAAAGGAAAGCCGGAGGGCCTCCTAGGTCTCACTCAAAGTGAAGCCCGACTCCTGCTCCTTGGCGTTCTTTACACAGACGGCACCGGCAAGGTACGTAACACCTGTCAGCAATCTTCGACAAAATCACATACCGGGGCTTCCAGTATACACCAAGCGAGCTGAGCAAATGCGCTGACACTAATGGCATAACACACAGGTCGATTTCGAGAAGTTGGCCATTAAAGCGCCTTACAAGAACGTGTCTTCCGCTTCTAGCTCGTACCGCCAGGCTAAGAGACGTTTCCTCCTTGCCAACGGCGTTGCAGAGCCCAGTTCAGCCAGTGCCCAGATCACTCCGCCCAAGAAAGCCCCCGCGAAGAGAAAGAGTGCTGCTGCTACCCCTGCCCCTGTCGACACTGACGCTGTGAGAGGCAACGATGACGATTTCGTTCCAGAGCGCGAGGAGCCTGTGTCTCCGACTCCGACCCCCAAGCCAAAGCGCCAGCGCAAGACGGCGTCCAAGGTGCAGCCGCAGGTTATTATCAACAACGATCCTGAAAGGGAGCAGTAAGTATGGCTTGCCTTTTCCTGTAACTTATTTTTCACCCATGGTCGTTGCTCGCTGTACTAACACAGAACAGAGACACCTACACCACTCCAACCAAGCCCGAGCAAAAGCAACTCGAGGCGGAACTCGCCAATTCCCTCAAATTCGAGAGCCCCTTCGCCACAAGACTCGAGGCCTGGAGAGCCGAAGAGCGACAAATCATGGCTGACATCAACGTGGACGCCGAGTTTGAGGAAATGGAGCGCAACAGGGAGTTGGCTGAAACCATGAGTGACAGTGCGTGGCTCGCTTCTCTTCCTGATACTTGAATAGGTGATCTATCTAGGTCTTTGAATCCAGGATCATCTATCTAGCTATCTAGTTGGGTGAAGAGACAGGCTATGACGAACTTGGTTTGCTTGTTTCCTTGTCGTGTTTTTCTTAGTGTTTTCGGGGCTCGCTTCTCTTTTCTTTCTCTGTGTCGTCGTGTCCCTGGGCTTGGGGGATGGGCGTACGTACTTTTGTGGATATAAAGGTCCTCTATGTCTTTGTCATGGTCTTTTTTTCTTCTTCTTTCGCATTTGCGGTCACCGACCAGAGCCCTGGATAGCACCTTTTGTTCTTGTTTCTCTCAATATTCATCCCCAAAAAAGTTGGCATCGCAGATAGCTCAGAATTATTGAAATTTGGCCCGGAGATTGAAGAACATAGAGGAAATCAACCAAACAGTTGTCCATGTTCTAAGTTCTATGAGGAGTATGGATATTTGTAGAAACCCGAAATCTTCGAAACAGGACCCGTCTGCACCCAAACGCCGGACACACATACCCACGATATTCGACAATGGCAATAACAGAGGTGATATCAGAATTCTGAGAAACAGAAACTGGCAAGGTAATAGAACAAGCTCTCGGCGTAGCTAGCAACGCAAAATCACAAGAGGTCAAGCAGATCACACAGCAAATCTAGTATATCAGAGGGCTTCGATAGCTCTCCGAAGAACCTCCAAGCTTCTATCCGTAACCACGACAGAGTTGTCCTCGTCACCCGCACTCGTCTCACGAAGAGCCCATGCTACATCACTCCACCAGCCGAGCCCGATAAGCCCGCCGCCCTTCCTGCGCTCAAGGCTCTCCGTAAGCCGGCTGGTGTGCTCCCACTGCTTGGCTGCAACTTCGGCGCGCTCGATGACCTTATTGGAGATGCCACACATTGCAGCACAATGCATACCGAACGAACCTTCTGCGACGCCATCTTCTAATTTATACAGGAACGTGACGCGCCGCTCCTCGTCGTCCACGTGGATCTTCATGCGTTTTGGTTTGATCTCAGGGTGATTCTCAAACTCAGCAGCCAAGGAGTGGTAATGAGTAGCGAAAAAGCCAAGGGCACCAATGTGCGTGGCGACGTGGTGGAGGACAGCTTGCGCAACTGCAACTCCGTCGTAAGAGCTGGTTCCACGGCCTAGCTCGTCGAGAATGACGAGAGAGCGGGGTGTGGCTTCCGAGAGTATTTTCTTTGTCTCAGAAAGCTCAACGAAGAAAGTTGACTGCGCGGCGAAGATGTTGTCGTTAGCTCCGAGGCGTGACATGATACGATCAACGGGGGTCAGCCGGGCAGATTTGCAGGGCATATAACACCCAATCTGAGCCATAATCACAGCAACGCAGGTCTAAAATGGTCAGCAAAAATATGTATTCAGAGGCATCAGGTACCGACCATGCGAAGAAGAGTGGACTTTCCGGCCGCGTTTGCGCCGGTAAGTAAGTCAATATTGGGCGCACTGCCGCCAAGTTGAATATCATTGGGGATAAAATCATCGACAGAGGAAAGAAGGCACGGATGGCGGAGCTCCTCGAATTCAAGAACGCTCCGTTCCTGGTCGACAAATACAGGGCGACAACTTGGCTCACCAAGGCTAGAGGAGGCTTTGGCCAAGCTGATCAGGCAGTCAAGCTGTGCGATAACGCGGACAGCAGAGAGCCAGGTGGAGTAATGCTCGTCAAATCGTGTATAGAATCGTTTGGTGACCTCTTTGACAATCTGGCTATGCGTCTCCTGGGCTTCTTGTAGCTTGCGGATGGTCGTTCGCAGTTCCGGAAAATAGTAGCGTTTAACTTGCTTGGTAGCTGACATCTGATCCCAGTTCTTCGGCACGTTCTTCACCTTGATTGGTACTTCCATCTGGTAAATCTCTTTCCCATTATCTCTATAGCAGATCGCTGTAGAGCCCAACTCCCGCCGGGTCCGCTTCAGGAGATCTTCAAGGTCTTGATGTAGCTGTTGAATGCTCTCCTGAGAGTTGTCAAAGTCCTCTTCAACGCCGGGCTTGGGAACAAGGATGCCATTTTCTCTTGCTCGGGAGTGGTCAAATGCTGTCTTCCAATACTCCAATAACTCTGTCAAATCAGGCATGGATTTTATTAACTGCCCAATAACGCCTTCACCTGAGCCACTGTCCTTGAGAAGACTCATGGTGTACTCAATTTGTTCAAACCCTTCGAGGACTCGCACGAAGTCTTGTGCTTTGCAGTTGGCCGCATGGATGCGGGATATGAGGCGCTCGAGATCAGGCATCTTTGTGAGTTGCGAAGAAAATTGATCCCGTACACTGGAATCAGCGTTCAGGGCATCCACTGCATCTAACCGGGCGTTGATTCGCTTTGGATCTACCAAAGGATGGCATACCCACTGTTTGAATAATCTTTTCCCGAAGGGTGTCATGCACCGATTGAGTAGTTGGAATAGTGTACCGTCAATGCCTCCATCAAAGGAATTGGCGAAAATCTCCATGTTGATCAGAGTCTGGCCATCCAAGACAAGACTGGAGGCCTTTTTGATTGGATCGTACCATGAAAAATTGCCAATGGTTATCAAGTCCCGCTCAATCTTGAGTAGTCTGAGATATTGTACTAGAGCTCCGAAGGCCGACATAACTAGCTCCTTGTCACGGGCCTGGCGAAGAGCCTCTGGCCATGCGTGGATATTGTCATTGTCCGGAGAGACAAAGTACTCACTCACATCGAGCTCCTTGACTGTGATATCGGCCTCCCAGAACTCTTTCCCTGGCTTGAGGTGGTTCCAGATCGTTGTCGGACCAGTATTGTTTTTCAATATGCGCAGGGCTTTCTGGGAAACAGTTGACTTTTCAAGAAGAAGCTCCTGTGGGCGTGTCTGCGCCACAAAAGTTTCGAACTTTGTCATATCCACATCATCAACGAATTCTGTGAGGAAGAACTGACCCGTGGCAGTATCAACAAAAGCGATACCAAAAGCTGGACGGTCCTCAATGATGGCTTCTTTGATCGCAACGCAAAAGGTCGACATATCGTCCTGAAGCATAGCACCCTCAACCAACGTGCCTGCCGTGAGAACACAGGCGAGCTCTCGTTTAATGATCTTATCTTCCTTTCCACCGCCCTTCTTGCCGTTTCGTTCACGCATTTCTTTCCCAAGAGCTGATTCGGATTGGTCAACTCTCGCTATCTTGAAGCCTTTGGCCACGAATTGATTGGCCCATTGGTCCAAGCTCGATTCCGGGACTCCAACCATGCGCATGTTCACACGATCGGTGAGTTTCAAGTCAAACAACTGGTGCCCAATTGTGGCATCATTTTCGTATAATTCATAGAACTTGCCCTTCTTGAAAAAGACCACGGTGTCCCAGAACTTTTGCTTGATCTCCCAGTATTGCTTCTCGAATGGAGAGAACTTAGACCAGGCGAGAGGAGGAATATAAAGCGTTCTGGGGTCGTATGCGGGGTCACCGATAGGATGGCCGTCAATGTCCCGGACATTAGCAAGCCAGGGATAGCGTTGCTCAGGCTCGGTAGTATGAGCTTTTGGTTTGGCAGAGCTTGATGTAGTTTTGCTGGTCGATCTCACGGCACGAGCCTCGCGAGGTTCTGAATTTTCAGGGTCGTAAGTCCACTTCTGAGCGGAGCCTGATGTGGCATCGGGAAGGTCGAGATCAAGGTCTTCAACCGCAGGTGGTGGAAGCAAAGAGGAGGAGTTGCTCTTTGGCTGGCTAGCCGGCTTCTTGCGCTTTTTAGACGGCTTCACCTCGTCTTCAGAACCGTCTGGGACAACAAAATCGTCCAATTCTTGGTAAACGTCAGTAATCAGAAATTGACCTAAGCGTGCGCTGAACTGACCGTCGTCAGAGTATTCTGCATTGTGTATATCATCTTTGAACTCATCCTCGCTTTCTGGTGAGAGTTTCCTCCTCTTCGAAGCTCGATTGCTCTTGCGAGACGGATGAAAGATCTCGTCATCGTTGTCTTCACCTTCGGAGTCGGATTCAACGTAGTTGACTTTCTTCGCCGACTAAACATAGCAAGAAAATTAGTACGGACCATAGAAAGAGAAGAGGGGGATTCGGAATGGACGTACACGACGTGACGGAGAATCCGAGGCATTTTTCACATCTTCAGGGCTGAGCTGCAAAGGACGGAAGTCACGTTAGTGGACCTCGGAGCTCAGGGCTTGCTGCATTCATACCTGCTTCTTGGTTTCCTGCTCTTCAGGTAGGTCGAGCTCACTGCTCGGCACAGGAGGTAAGTCTTTCGTGAACTTGGACGCAGCCTTCCCGGGCTTATCTTCGCGCTTCACCGGCCGAGAGACTGAGGCCCTCTGCGCCGGGGAGGAGGCAGGTTCCGCATAACGGGTGGATGGGGTTGACGGGGAAGACTTTTGGAAGAACCCTAGAATTGACTTCTGGTTCTTCATATTTTGTGTACTCGAATCCGACCGTTTTAGCGGAGTAGCCGCAGGCGGAGATGACGCGGTTGGCCCTTTGGCCATTCTGGGCCACGATGAACAGTTGAACTGCTGGATTCAATAAGGATTCATAGACTAGCTAGGTAGGGGTCAATCGGGTGAGAAGAGAGCATTGGGTGTAGAGGCTGAGGGGAGGTTCAGGAAAGCATGGGAATGATTGATCGACTCCGACTCCGCATCACGCGTCGACGCGTTTAGTGGTTTACCTATGGCCCGCCTGAATTATCAGTCAGCAACACAGGACACTACTCTGCATGGCTCTACGGAGTAATTGTCTTTCTTTTCAACTCGTATATTTCGTTTATATTCATTAGATCATTCATGTCTATGGTTGGTCTTCCCAAACTTTCAAATCAGGAGCAGGGTTTGGTAAAAGTACAACTGGTATATAGTTACAGTCTATCTAAAAGTACAGGCCAGAAGTTTCCCTCAAAGCCAATAGTTGCAGATCGCAGAAGCAGCACAAATCTCAAGGAGAGGACTCCGATTCCGCCGTTCCCGAGCCCTTGCTCTCGCCAATGACCTCATCCCAGCCGGGAGCTGTGAGACCAAGCTCTTTGAACTTCTCATCGCTAACAATGGTCACCAACTTCAGCTTCCATTTCCCTAACCTTAGAATCAGGAGTTCGTCATCGATGATAAACTCGCGCGTTTTCGAGGCCATCCAAGATTTGATTGGTGTGAAGGTCAAGGCATCTGGCATGTCCCCGCCAGGCAGACTTTTTTCGATGCCGGGACGGCTTCCTACATGGGCGCCTTGGTTGTTGATAATACGTTGGGCCTCACTCTTGGAGGCAACTAAACCGGCAGACCAAAGAATCTTGCTGAATGTCTTGTCGTACACGAGGGATTTAGGGAGCGTTATCCGGAGAGATGGCATATTGGCGAAGTTTGTTTGAGGGGCGTATTTGTTGCCAGCCTGAGGATTATCAAACCCGGACAATGATGATTTGGGATTCCCAACTGGTGCACTGCGAGGTGCGGGCGTCGGTGGTGCGGTCGAGCTTCGCGATCTAAATAATTGGCGGTGCTGCATAGACACCGCATCCGCTTCCTCTCTGCCGTGGATGAGTTCAACAAATTCATAAGCGAGAGCATGTTGGGCCACCCGCTTTGAGGGGTCCTGATTTTGCTCTTCCATGATCCGTGAAATCTCGGGGAGAGGTAAGAACGTGAACATCTTGAGGTAACGCTCGACAGCGTCATCAGGTGTGCGGACAAAGAACTATCGGGGTGTTACTACCATGCATTCCAACATGGAGCGTCTCAACTTACCTGGTATAGCTCAAAAGTGGGTGTCATATCCTTATCCAACCAGATGGCGTTGCCGGCGGACTTTCCAAACTTCTCACCGGATGAAGTCGTGAGCAACGGAGTGGTGAAACCAATGGGCTTATCGATATCATCTAACAGGTCGTTGTGATCTTCTTGCATCTTGGTATTCTTACTGACTGTCTTCACAGCCTCCATTCCAAAGAGGATGTTCCCATACTGGTCGCTTCCTCCGACCTGGACTTGAGTATGTCTTTGTCGAAAGAGCACCCACCAGTCCCATGCCTGCATGAGAGGGTAGGTGAACTCTGCAAAAGACATCCCATCGCCCTTTGACATTTTGTTTTTGACTCTGATTTTTAGTAAGCATCAAACTCATATAATTGCGCGGCAATGACCAACTCACGTTTCTCTTCCTAGCATTGGACCAAGGCGCATATAAGATCCCAAATCGCGGAGCACCTCTATCAACGGCGTTTTGTTCCACCAAACATTATTGTTTTCCAGAGCTCGTTTCCAGATCAACTGCCGCTTGTAACCGTGCCTTTGCCCGTATCTCTCAATGCTCATACCGAGTTTTTTGAGTTGCATGTGCATGCTAGCCATGTTTGCTTTACGTACCGAGGAATGGACCTCCTCCCTTCCCTGCAATCGCCCAGTCGGGTCACCGATTCGCGCTGTGGCACCGCCGAGCTTTATTACGTTAGCGACACCATAGTCGTTTGTCTGGCGTATGGGCACAGACCAAAAACACGACGGGCAATCCCCAAACATATCCCCACGCAAGTACCATGAACGGCAGCATATGTCCAACATGCATAGATGGCGCTGTCGGGTCTATGCCTGCGTAAATCCCAGCTCGCTTCTCGGTAAAGACACGGTGCAACAAGTCTCGCTCCCTGCAAATAACCATGTCACCAGTTAGCTAAGGGCGTTCGGTCTTGAAGCTGGCTCGGTGAACGGAGTCGCACGTACCCAACAACATCATGTATGAGACCTCTGTCCTCCAGATGCTCTACAAAGCTCTTTCTCTTCCCCTCCTTGATCTGTTCGGCGAGAAATGCCCATTCCTTTCTCCCCTCCTCCTCTCGCGCCAACCATTTTTTTGTAATCCATCTTTTCTGGCCTGCTTTGATTTCAGGTGACAATTTCGCTGTAGTAGGTCGCGCATTATCGAAGCGGAACGTGTTTGTGCTCAGGACCTCCGCAGTCCGCGCATACTGGCGAGCGCCGTATACTGGGCGGCGGGCGGCTACCGGAGAGCGAAGGTGTGCCGCCCAAGGCAGCGAGAACGGGCGTGGCCGCATTGAATCGGGCCTGGCAGACGTAAGTCGAAAGCAAACTAGAACAGCTACTCGATCAACAAGTTTGGATGCGGAGGGAACTTTTTGGAGCGGAATATTTGCGATAACGCCGCTCGTTCTCCGGCGGAGAATCGTTGATGCGGAGTTGATTCCCCAATCAGGTCGGAGTTCATTCTTCAAAGTTACGATGGTCCATGCAGTCTACAGTGGTAGTATGTAGCTGACCCCGGGACAGTTGAAGCCGGAGCGACTCTGTAGTTATTTGCATACGCAACTTGAGCATCATGCTAAAGCTTTTTGATATAAAGGTCTACAGCGCAGCATCGGCGAATGGTTTAACATGGATTCAAGTTCATAGCAAAGTTCATATAACTTGGATTCAAATTCAAATTCACGGGGTATCAAAAGGCCAAATGCAAAGAGAAAGTCGCCATAAAACAGGCATAACCGACTAATGTACCCTATCATTGAATGATGCCCATTACTCAGACAGCAGCTAGCATCTCAAGGGCCATGAGGCGTCGGGAAAGAGGGAACACCGCCAAGTATTATGAGGTTCAGAGATGCCTTCACCGCGTCCGTCGAAGTAACAAGGTTGTGTGCCGAACGCAGATATCACTCTCCCTCCATCCGGTACCGCGCAGCCCTTAAGCCCCGAAGGGAGAGCAGCTAGGCTCCAAGAGGAGAGATTGGATCATATATAACACACTAGGCTTTCATCATCTGCGATAATGTTAGAATTCAGGTTCATATCAGCAGGGCACCAAAGGTAGCACTCACAAGTATAAAACTTGGAAGGATGGAGGAAAAGAAAGCTCCGCGAGATTTTCCGCTATTTAATGTGGTGTGGATAACACGCTAGTTCGCTTTTAGAGGGCGGTGCCTTTCTGCCGCATGTTTTATGGCATTCGATTCAAAAGCACCACGATGTTTACATGAAGCTCTGACTTTGACAATTTACCGTTGAGTGTTCAATATCGCCGGGATGATGCTGGCGCGCGCGGCGCATAGGAGCGCTCGTCTCCGCACGAGCTATCTCGAAATATACAACTACATGCGCAGCAGAAGTATGCCGACTGTGGGATCATATGTTCGCATCAACTCGTCCCGGAGAGCTTTTCATAAAGGTTCCTGTCTGCGCGAGCAAGCCGGGACTCCTTTGGCGCAGCCTCAATTTCTTGAAAACTACAAGCAGGCGGGTGTGTTTCGTTCCCAATAGCTGCCTAATTGTACATCCAGGTCAGCGCTGCTAGAGTCCAAGACAGCTAACCGATGACCTACCACAGTCGAATTTCCCCCTGCTACTTGCGACTTTCAGACCTTCCTCTCTCAAGCCTCGCCAGGTCAGGATGTCGTCCTACACGGCTACCTCGGAGTTCGTAGCGATTTATCCAAAAAGTTATCCTTCGTCCGTTTACAAGACCCAACCATGAAACATACCATACAAATCGTGTCGACTGGCCGCAATGCGTCATTTGAGCAGCTCAGAAACCTCAGGCCCAACAGTCCAGTAACTGTGAAGGGTAAAGTCCAGGCTAAGAAGGCGAAGGATGCCGAGATGGAGAAGCGTGACCCGTGGGAAATTTCACTCGAGGAGATTCAACTTCTCAATGACTTTCCAGGCGATATCTGGATGGCACCAGATATGGTACATCCTCCCAAGCATAGACATCTGCAACTTAGGACTAGCAGCGAGCTACGTGAGGCGCTAGAGTTTCGAGCACGAGTGCGCAATGTCTGTCGAGAAGAACTGGAGCAAGGCCGGCCCCCCTTTGTCGAGATTGAGACCCCTCTGCTGTTCAAGTCCACGCCTGAAGGAGCTCGTGAATTCCTGGTTCCTACGCGGAAACACGGTCTAGCATATGCGCTTCCGCAGAGCCCACAGCAGTACAAGCAGATTCTCATGGCTAGCGGTATTCCTAGGTATTATCAATTTGCTCGCTGCTTCCGGGACGAGGATCTCCGAGCAGATCGGCAACCAGAGTTCACGCAAGTAAGTAAAATAGACGGCTCGCTTGTCGCCTTGTCGCTGATATATTCTGTCTTAGCTTGATCTAGAGATGTCTTTCGCGACAGGCGAGGACGTCATGCGAGTTGTTGAAGGTGTTATACGCCGACTTTGGTCGACCTTGATGGACACCGAAGCTCCTTCTGGTCCATTTCGAAGGCTGTCGTACCAGGATGCGATGAGTCGCTATGGCTCGGACAAGCCCGACACCCGGTATGGAATGGAAATCCACAGAGTTGAGCATCTGCTGCCAGTGGACCTGATCCACAAGATTACCCCCTTAACAAATCCTATTGTCGAAATCTTCAAGATCGAAGGTAACGACAACGACCCGGCAGCTACGTCTGAATTCATCACAAGATTCCTTGATTCGCCAGCCGGTGCACCATTCAATGAGAACCCAGAAGGCGGGCCCGGTATCTTTGTGTACGACGCAAAGAAGCCCTTGTGCGGACTACAGCCATTCGGCTTTCAAGCTGCCGAATATGTGGAGGATCTTTTGGAGCCTGACCACAGCGATTTGCTTGTAATCCAAGCCCGCGAAGCCGCCCCCTTCTCCGGCGGTTCAACGCCAATTGGTGACCTTCGTCGCGCCCTTCATACCGCTGCTGTGGAGTCAGGGTTCAAACCTGCTGCGACGGGATTCGACTTTCTTTGGATTGTTGACTTTCCCCTCTTCTCTCCATCTAGCGACTCAGAGCCTGGCCAAGGCGGTGCTGCCGGTCTATCTTCTACGCACCATCCTTTCACTGCGCCAAAAAGTGCTGCCGATGTGGATTTGCTTCTCACCGACCCCACTAAAGTTGTTGCCGATCACTACGACTTGGTAGTAAATGGAGTAGAACTTGGTGGTGGTAGTCGTCGTATCCATGATGCTGCAGTTCAGGAGTTCGTTCTCCGGGATGTCCTCCAGATGCCGGCTGAACGATTAACGGATTTCTCCCACCTGCTAGATGCACTTCGCGCAGGCTGTCCTCCTCATGCCGGACTGGCCTTGGGCTTTGACCGTCTGGTCGCTGTCATGCTAGGCAAGGACTCTGTGCGGGATGTCATTGCTTTCCCCAAGACCGGAAAGCTTGGGGAGGATCCGATGGTCAAGGCTCCTAGCCCGATGACTCAGGAGGCATTGGGAACGTATCACCTGCGCTTGGTTGATGAGTGATGTTCTTTGCTTCCTCGAAAGGCCGTTGTGAGCTCTCCACTTCAATGTCCTTATGTATATGTATACCTACTGGGGCGCCACATACTAGATACCCTCTACCGGCGGTATATACCAACACCTGTACAATATTCTCGCTCAGATCACTCTCCACGCTTTCTCATGAAATTTGTGGCGTTTCCCAGGCAGATTTTTGGAACTCGCCGCGCACTCAGGTGATCGATCAATATGTCCCGCTTAGGCATGATTTGGTGCCTGAGGCGGTCACGTTGATAGCAGCACGTGATCCTTATCGATCTTGATCCACTGACTAATCGATGAGGGGCGAAACTTTTTTTTGATCTCTAATCGCGGATTTTCTCTGCCTCAACTCAGACACCCATCAAGCTTTGACGGCAGGAAAATCGAAAATGGATATTGATACCCCCGTGCCTATGGCACCGCAGGCCGACGGTGCAAGCGAGATTCCCACGTACGTCCGTCTTCCTTCCATGCGACAGTCCAGTTGACTAACGAATGCTCAGAACGCTCTGCTACAACTGCGGGGCTCCTTTAGTTGGAACGACGATATGTCCGGATTGCATGAAACTCCAAGTCGACATCTCTCAAGGTATTCAACGAGAAGCGGTCCTGAACTTTTGTCGTGACTGCGAGCGCTGGCTCCTCCCACCGAACTCATGGAACGTAGCGGCTCTCGAGTCGCGCGAGTTGTTGGCGCTGTGCTTGAAGAAACTGAAGGGACTGAACAAAATTCGAGTCATCGATGCGGGATTTATCTGGACGGAACCACACTCGCGGAGAGTCAAGGTCAAGCTCACGATCCAAGACTCGGTATCCGAGGGTGTTATCCTGCAGCAGACTTTCGAGGTCATCTACATCGTAATGTACCAGCAATGTCCGGAGTGCGCAAAGTCATATACCCCCAACACGTGGCGTGCGTCCGTCCAAGTCCGACAACAGGTCCTTCACAAGCGAACCTTCCTATACCTCGAACAGCTCATCCTTAAGCACAAGGCGCATCAGAATACCATCAATATCAAGGAGGCAAAGAACGGAATTGATTTCTTCTTCGCCCAGCGGAACCACGCCGAAGGCTTCCTCGATTTCCTCCATTCCGCAGTGCCCGTAGAGGTTACGAAGTCGCAGCAGATTATCTCCGAAGACATTCATACCTCGACCAAGTCGTACAAGTTTACCTACTCTGCTAAGATCGTGCCGATCTGCAAGGACGATCTCGTGGCGATCCCAATAAAACTCGCAAAACAGCTTGGCAATATCTCTCCTCTGCTGCTCTGCAACCGTATTGGCACTTCGATCAGCTTCCTCGACCCGAACACACTCCAGACCGCCGATCTCAACTCCCGGATATACTGGCGATCGCCTTTCACATCTCTCACAGAGGCTAAAGACCTCGTTGAGTTCATTGTGCTAGATGTTGAGCCAACAGGACACTCCAAGGGCAAATGGTTTCTGTCTGAAGTGACCGTTGCTCGTGCATCTGACTTCAGCGGCGATAGGCAATACTTCACGCGAACCCATCTCGGCAGCATCATCCATCCCGGTGATTCCGTGCTCGGCTACATGTTGACGGGAACAAATTTCAACAACGCGCAATTTGACGAAATCGAGGCGTCCAACACGTACAACTCCACCATTCCAGATGTTGTCCTGGTCAAGAAGTTCTACCCAAGGCGCACTAAGCACACCAAACGCAACTGGAAGCTCAAGCGCATGGCTACAGAGCACGACCCCTACCTCTTGCCGAACAACAAGGAGTCTGTGGAGAACGATTTTGAGATGTTCCTGCGCGATGTAGAAGAGGATGAGGATCTTCGGGCGACGCTGGCGTTATACAAGAACAAGAAGAAGGATGACACCATGAGCGTGGCAGACACGGACATGATGAACGATGGCGATGAAGAAGTTCCCAAGATCAACATGGACGAGCTACTGGATGACTTTGACGACCTTGATATTGACGACAACATGCAAGAATAAACGTACATAGTATGAATTTACCACCAAAAGTAGCGAGTTAGCTACACATTATACCCCAAAACTGGATTCGACGTATGTCGCCTAAAATCGGGTTGACTCGTATAATATCGTCGTAGTATATCAATCTCATTAGACCTCTTGTAGCAAAGATTTCGTTTGACGCAGTACCTGCAGATGGGGGTTTGGCTGTCTTGATATATATCTAGCACAGGCTCTACCCGCTCGCCGGCGAACAACAAAAGAGCGATCAACCCCACCGTCATCAACAATACTTCCAGTCCGAAAAGACCTGCTTGACAGTACTGCTATTTGCTATTGACTTCTGGAAACCTCTTGTCGCATATCAACTCCGCGCCTCCGAACCTCTTCTCCCGCCCATAAGCAACGAAGCCAGGAAAGAATGCCGCAATATCTCTCCTCTCCAACCCATTCCCTCACCGTCCCCTCCATCTACGACGGCACGCAGCTTGCTTGCCGAATCTATCTCCCGCAGCAATTATTGAACCCGAACGTATCATCTCAATGGCGCGTACGAGGAGCCATCGTCGCACACCCCTATGCTTCGCTCGGCGGTTGCTATGACGATCCGGTTGTGAGCTTCATCGGGGGAGAGCTCCTTGAAGCGGGCTATGTGGTTGGCACCTTTAATTTCCGGTGCGACTCTTCTTTATAATATGCGGGCACTTCTAACCATGCTCTAGCGGTGCGGGTGATTCTCATGGGCGCACTAGCTGGACAGCGAAGCCCGAATTGGCTGATTATGTCTCCGTTTATGGATTCATGATGCTCTATCTGCGATGCTTGAAGCTGGAACTTACGCATCAATCGGATGAAAAGGGTACCGAAGAAGGGATCCACCTCATACTTGGTGGTTACTCGTACGGATCTTTAGTCGCTTCTCATCTTCCAGAAAGCGAAGTGGTTGCGGACGTCTTCAAGAATGCAATCCAGCACACTCCAGCCCATAAAATATTCCTCACCGCGAAGGCCATCTGCGCATCGTCGAGAGACGAGATACCGCAGTTAAATTCATCAACGAATCTAGATGCGGCCAATCTGGGCCAGGAAGCAAGGCCGTTGTTACAATCGTGTGGCACAACGATATCATACCTTCTTGTTTCACCGCTCCTCCCCCCGATCAACCTATTACTGACACTATTTCTCGATCTGTCGCTCGAAGTGCACACCCAAGCGTCGGGGCAACGGAGACAGATCCCTTGCCCTAAGCCAACAGACCAGCTACGTGCACATGAAACTCTAGCTATCTACGGAGATGAAGACACCTTCACTTCCGTAAGCAAGTTACGCAAATGGTCAGGCGAGCTGAGCGGCGTCTCTCAGAGCCAGTTTCAATCAAAAGAGATCGAAGGAGCGGGTCATTTCTGGCGAGAAGATGGTGTAGAGCAGCAAGCAAGACGGGCTTTGCGGCTGTGGTTGCGCCAACACCCTGATTAGTATGACCATGCGCGTCGGTGTGGTGTGCTCCTTAACGGGCTGAGCCAGCTCACATGACAAGAACCGTACCCCTCGCATGTGAAAATGTCTCCCCGCATGGCCGGATGACTCCAGTACCGTGTATTTTTAGTTGCGCCATGTAAATCGCGAATTAATGGTCAACCATATCAGTAGTCCGGTGTAGGGGGAACAGAATTGAGTTGGAGGAAGGTGCAACGCTGCTGACTTTGCGTGGCGGCAGCGTTGTATAGAGCCGGAGCCATACCAGGGGACAATTTTATGATAGCAAACTGACATCGGACTGAGTGGATGATTTCGTGAGAAAATGTGGGGGAATCTGGCTGCACCACTAGGAAGCAGAGGAGTCGCCTTCCCCAGAAACAAAACCACGGGGGCGCTCGTGGGGTTATGGCGGCCACTGGGCTTGGGCAGCCTCTAAGCAGCGTAAGCGTTACCGTAAGCTTGCCGTGCGGGCTCACAGCGGGCCAGCGGGCCTCCGCGATCGCTCGTGACTCTTTTCCGGTCTCGCCTGACTCCCAGGTTTTCTCTTCCCCAGGCTGCCAGCATTACTATTCAAATCCCACCCCTCATCTTTTGTGTCGTGGTCTATCTTGATCGGCATCTTTATGCTTCTTAACTGCGACACCCTCCTGCACAGCGCTTGTCATCTTCCTACTCCGTTGCTTCCTCCGCCGAATGGATATCCGACTGTCGCCAATGATCTTGTCATGTCGCCAGTCCCCGACACTCCGCTAATAACCACGACGTGGCATAGTAAGAGTAAATACTCGAACAGCCATGCCCATCCGAAGGACTCCCCTCGGAATGGCTACCGCACACGGCTGAACCTCGATACCGTCCCTTCCCTAGCCTCCGTCGTGAGAGGTTCCCTTACATGGGCCGGCAGCGTCTGGAACTCCGAAGACATTGTCTCAAAGAAGAAACGAGGGCTCGAGGAGGAGATACAATCGGAGACAGAAGATCGCAAGCAGGTGCTGTACCTGCGCATGCGAAATGTGAGTCTGATCTGTGCTGTCGCGGCGTTACACTACTTTGTCCGTGCTCGTTGGGACAGTTGCTAATTCGTCTTGCCTGTTAGGCCGTGTCCGCGGAAGAATGGAAAGAATGCGCCTGCGAACTCGACAAACTCGAGAACAACAACGTTTGGAAAGCGACGTTTGAATGCGACGAGTATGACCCCCGGCTTGTGCAAGAGCGCCTCGAGCAGCTGGAAGCAGCGCGTCTGAGCTGTGATGTCAGCCGCATGTTGTACCTGATTCGGACATCGTTGAGCCGTGATCTCGGGGGCATGAGCAACGCTTCTCTATACAAGCACACCCATTTCGGAACAAAGAACCTCATCGATAAATATATAACGACCGCCGTCCAGACAATATCATCCCTGGTGGAAGTGTCTGGCGGTAACCGGTGCGATGCGGCCGAATCGAGGTATATACTCGACCAGCTGCTGGCTGCGAGACAGGCCTTTGGACGAAGCGCGCTTCTTTTCTCGGGCGGAGCTACGTTTGGGATGAATCATATTGGCGTCTTAAAATCGCTTTGGATGTCGAACCTTTTGCCGCGCATTATCTCCGGCGCCTCTGCTGGCAGTATTGTCTGCGCGGTGTTCTGCACCCGCACCGAGGACGAACTTCCTGCATTGTTGGCTTCGTTCCCTTACGGCGACTTTTCTGTGTTTGATGAGGAAGACTGCGAGGAAAATATCCTGCAGAAGACCGCACGGTTCCTAAAACACGGAGCGTTTTTGGATATCACACACCTGGCTAAGGTTATGAGAAACTGGCTCGGTGACATTACCTTTCAAGAGGCGTACAACCGAACCCGAAGGATTCTCAACGTTTGCGTCTCTAGCGCTGGGGTGTATGAGCTTCCGAAGCTCTTGAACTACATCACGGCCCCTAACGTCTTGATTTGGTCTGCTGTGTAAGTTGCTGCATTGTTGTATGAGATGCCATGCTAATACCCGCCAGGGCTGTCTCATGTTCGGTCCCAGTTGTCTTTTCTCCATTCACTTTGATGGCCAAAGATCCGTTGACGGGCGAGCCTGTTCCGTGGAACGACCTGCACAAGCAATATATTGACGGCTCCGTCGACGGAGACTTGCCTATGAATCGCCTGTCGGAGATGTTCAACGTCAACCACTTTATTGTGTCGCAGGTAAATCCACACATTGTGCCGTTTGTTGCCAAAGACGACGAGCCGAAGAGTGTCGCCGTACCCACGTCAACAGCGTCTCGAATTTTCCACACAGTCTCTCATCTTGCAAAGGAAGAAGTTATGCATCGGATGGCGGTACTGACGGAACTTGGCGTCTTCCCGAACTCGTTCACCAAATCCATCTCAATCATGAACCAGAAATACTCTGGGGACATCAATATCTATCCTGAGATCCTTTATGCTCATTTCCCTCGATTATTGAAGAACCCGACCACCGATTTCATGCTCAAGGCGTGTCTATGCGGAGAGCGAGCCACATGGCCGAAGCTTGCACGTATCCGGAACCATTGTGCCATTGAGCTAGCCTTGGACACTGCTATACAGAAGATGCGCGCGCGGGTAGCTTTAAGCCATAGCCAGGCACTGCTCTTGGCGAACGCCCTCTTCCAGCATTCCCACGACGGCAGCGCAGATCGTGGACGGAGGAGGCGAGGCTCATACAATCATGAGCTCGAGAGAAGGAAAGCGGCCGCACGTCGATCTAGCCGACCGAGCCTAGCGAAGGCAGGGAGGTCTCTATCCCATAGCTTCGAGTCATCGCAGTCCAAAGAGGATATGGACTGGGCTTGGATTCACCCTCCTGGAATGGAACCCAGAGGCCTGGAGCTTGTTTCCAGCAGCGAACACGGGAACGCGCCGTCTCTCAACTCGTATCATGAACACGGCTTCTTCTCGCCAGACCCTGAGTGTAGCCTTGAGTGTTCAAAAGTTCCCTCGAGCTCGTCATCGTCATTATCCTCGCCACCTCCTATACGTCTCGCAAAAAGCACTGAATACCCCGCAACCCGGCCTGGTTTGCTCGAAACCGACAGGAGGTACTCGTTACCAATGCGTTCCGTCTCCCCGCCCCATGTATCGCTCAGAATGACGTCTGCCGGACCAAAACGTTGATTTCTGTGCCAGTTCATCAAATTGCGACACGAAGCGTGTGGTTTTATTACGTTGCTGCATGATCGGCGCTTCGTCTGGATTATATGAAGAAGACTACTGGTGCTTACACATCGCTGACACGACTCACGACGCATATTTACGTGCTTTACGATGGTTGCTTTTTGCGTCTATATTCGATATCCTTGCAAGGGGCAAGTGGCGTCTGGGTTGGATCATGGGCGGTTTTACTCTGCTTACTTTTTCTTCTGCATCTTGCCATTGAGCTCATTTCTAGCACCCCTCAATTGGGGATTTGCATGACGGCGTTATTGGATACACCTGACGTTGGTGGATAACGCGTTGGCTCAAGCGCGACAGGGTGCTTAAGGGTTGTCTCATAGACTATTGCTAGTACTAGATATGGAATAATGGCTAGAGAGACTTACGTCGCTTACGTCGCGCGTCACCGACACAACAAGATGACAAGCTATGATAATTTGCTAAACCACTAGCTTTGCTAATTCACCTAAATATAGTGCTTGGGGTAGCTCTCGCATTAGTAGCTAGCACACTTTGGAGATACTCGCTGCTGTTCTAAAATTGTCAATTAGCCTGCATTCTGGCAGATGCAGGGTTAATTAATCCGCCAAGCCGACTTAATATAGATCAATCAAGCTGCTATTAATGGAAATTTACCCAGGGATCAGCAAGACTAAACGCAGTCTAATGCAGCCCCCCGCTCGCTCGGTCTTTGCACGGCGGCTATTTCTCGTCTCGACGCTGTAACCACAACATTGGACTTGCGCAATCTTGCGTCGACGACCAGGGTCTCATGCACCTCGCTGACCCCGAAGCACTTAGCAAACAAGCCGGCGGGAATCAAAATTAGAAACGCTGATGCTGGCAGGATTGCAGAGGGCTATATCATGGCGCTCTCCACCCCGAGTCTTGGAGGGCGATCAAACAGCTTGGCTGGTCTCTGGGCAAAGTATACTCTGCTGGGCTAGCTAAGCCTCACGTCTCAGCTCGCATCCTTCGCTGCATATAATTACATTCCTGCCCACCTGGTTTTGTCAGGATGTCCTTCAACCGCTTTCGCAGCGCACACTCGAAACCGGCCTACGAGCGAGACGCCCACTCCACTCGTGCCCTACCTCTATACAAACAGTACTCCTCCAGCTCGACTCGCACCCCAACTCTCGAAGAAGACATCATCCCGCTCACGAATACGAGGTCAATGTCCGTGTCGCGCAATAACTCCTTTACCATGAAGACACTTGATCCCCGTCGTCTCTCCATGCGCCTGAAGCGCTCGAGCGGGAGCCCAAGCCCAGCCTCCTCGCCCTCCACCTCTCCGGCCCCCTACGACCAATACACCACGCACCGATCAAATACAGACCCGTTGCCACTACCGTCTTGCGCATCATCAGGCAGCCGCGCGGAATTCGTATATAAGCCCATCCACCGAAAAGACTATACGGCCGTCGTGGCCGAGACAGCGACCGTGCAGGCTCGATCGCCGGTGCTAGCGTCAGGGTCACGATATCACTATAATCACCTCCCCTCTGGGCCTGCGTGTAGGAAGCATATGGGGCTTGGGATTGAGGAGCGGACGATCGCATCGCAGGCACAGGCACAGAGACAGACACAGTCGCGGTCGCGATCTCGATCACGGGCTGCAGTCCACCCTCGAGCTCGAGCCCAGGCTCACTATGCATACGATGAAGATGAAATCAATGACAGCCACGATCTATATGATGATTTGGATGAGGGGTATGGCGCTGCTCGGCGGGAGCGTTCAAGACCGGCGGATCTGTATACTTCGGCTGCGGAGAAGAGGCATCGGGCGGCGAGGAGGCTCACGACCGTGATGGTTCCTGATGCGGAGGATATCTATGGATGAGGTTATGAGCTATAATATCATTATACATACATAATGTCTGCTATCTTAGCGAATATCGAACGATTATTAATTCTTTAGACTCCGTATTTCCATCTCATCCCCACCCGCATACTCCGTACAGTCTGACGTCAACCTGACGCGCCCAACTCGCAGACCCTTGTCCGAAGATCCATCCCCAACCTGACATGTTCAATCATGAAGTTGGACCGGCGACGTTCTCGGCTCTCGCGGGTGCGTTTGGCCTGGTTGCTCGTCATGACGACAGAGTTTGAGTGGGTGGCCCTGTCATGTCATATCATACAGGTACATAAAAGGGCTATCCACGTCGCGATGGCGTCGGATTCCATCGAATATCACAAACTTTTCAGACCAAGTTAGCTCAATATGACAGACAGCGTAGTGCAATTAAAATGCGGTGTTAAGGTGTGTTTACTTGTTAAAATTGCTCTACTTGTTTCGTTGATGTACTGATCGGCTATAGCAAGACCCATGGGGGAAGCAGGGGCAGGAGTCTCTTGCCGGCCAGCTCTGGGCTAAGACGGCTGGGTCAACGGGGGTCTCGAATGATGAGATGTACTCTGAGGTATGTATTTGTTTCAAAGCGATTGCCCTGTTTCGGACATGATGGCTGACCTCACAGATGTGGATGGGCACATATCCCACCGTGCCCTCGCATATCCTCCGCACCGGAGAGTCCCTAGAGAACTACCTAAAGCGCAAGCCAGACCTGATCGGCCGGTCCGTGAAGGAGAAATTCGCAGACAGCATCCCCTTTCTGCCAAAGGTGCTGTCCTTCGCCAAAGCCCTGCCGCTCCAAGTCCACCCGAACAAGCGTCTAGCAGAGGACCTCAACCTCAAAGACCCCGACACCTTTGGCGACACAAACCACAAGCCCGAGATCGCGGTTGCACTGTCAGAGTTCGAGCTCTTCGCGGGGTTCAAGCCGCTAGCTGATATCGAGGCGCTTATGAAACTCAAGCCGCTCAGCCAGTTTGTCCCGGCCAATGCTAGCCTAGACGATGAGTTGCTGCGCCAGATTACGAAGAAGTTCCTCCAGTTGCCGCCGGAGGCCGTCAGGGATCTCGTTACGCAGCTGCATAGCCTACCCAAGGCGGAATTCGGCGCCAAGCACGAGTATGTCCCTGACCTGTTGGAGCGCGTGAGCAAGCAGTACTCCGAGTCCGACAACGGTGCGCTCGTAGCCGTGCTCCTGATGAACTACATGGTCCTTCAGCCCGGCGAGGCAGTCTGCGTGCCTGCCGACAGTATCCACGCCTACCTGAAGGGCGATATCCTCGAGTGCATGGCGCGGTCGGACAATGTGCTCGCAACGGGCTTCTGCCCGCGCGCCGACAGGAACAACGTCGAGCTGTTCGCAAAGACACTCTCCTTCAAGCCACACAACATCGACCAGGCGCAGCTAGGACGGAAGAAGAGCGAGCGCGGCGAGAAGCAGAAGACGTACGAGTACGCGCCGCCGTTCTCCGAGTTCAATGTCCTGGCGACTATCCTTGATGCGGGCGACGAGGAACGACACAGGGCGATTGGCGGACCGAGCATAGCGATCGTTACTAAGGGGTCGGCGGAGCTGGTTATCGAGGGCAAGGAGAAGCTCCAGGCGCACGAGGGGTCTGTTTGGTTTGTTGGTGCCGGCGTGCCGTTGGAGATCCTGAGTAAGGAGGGGACTGAGGTGTACCGGGCGTATGCTGAATGAACAATGACCAACATGAGAAGGATACGAGAGATGATATCGTGTATACTACCAACCGAATACCAGAGTACGAGATATGAGATGAAAGAACCCCGTCCGTCGGCCGAATCAGCCTTGTACACCGTCGATAGATACAGTGTCAGTGCCCAACCAACGGCGCCAAAACAAGCACCGCTAATTAGCCAACCCTTCCAGCTAAAAGCACCATAATCGCTATTTTCGGACCCTTTCTCCCTCCCTGGTCCCAGTCCCAGATCCTTCAGTCTTCACCCTAACCATCCCCGTCTAGTGCCAGAATCCAGGCGCTTGCCCTCCTCACTCCGTCCCTAGCGCCTCTGTCAACTCGCAGCCTCCGCCAATCGATCAATTTCCGACGCCCAAAAAAAGCAATCCCCCATGCGTCTATACCAATTCAGTGCTCGCGCTGCAGGGAACTAGCGACACTTCCCAGCCTATTTTTGGCCGCGGCCTGCGTTTCAGATTCGTCTGCTAAACTCAATCGCGGCGGGGTGTTTTGGCTCTTTTCAGTGGCCCAGTAGGCGATTTGTAGTTTAGGTTCTAACGGTGGCAGGCTTGTCAGTCGATGGCAAGGGTCTTCTTAAGGCGGGGATGCCGCTGGCTGGCTGCACTGGCGCTGGATCCTGTATCCGTATCCGGCTCTGGCTCTGGCACCTGCATTGATCGAGCTCTGCTGTAGCCTGTCGGGTCAGGTCAGGGCAGCGTACAGGATAGCTTGCCTGCCATAGCTCTGCGTGGTCGGTTTGTTTGTTGTGGTGGATGCTTTGCTTGTGTATCCTTCCTTGTCCTTGTCTTTGCTTGTCCTTACCTACCAACCCACTACTTCGCACTTACTTACGTCCACCTCTATGCTGCCGCGTCCTGATCAAGTACGGAGTACACCATGCCGGCCCTCCTATACCTCTCCGTCTCGCTCGTCTCCCGAGCCAACACCGCCAACGCAGACAACGTGGACGACGGCACAGACCACAACGGACCCAGCGACAAAACAACCCGGATCATCGTCGGCGTTGTGGTGGGTGGTGTGGCGGCTATTGCGAGTGCGTCTTTACTTTACCTTACCTATACCCCGACCCGACGAGTCACTTATACCCTACGTGGACTTGAAAGACTAATGTCTGTTTGCTGTGCAGTCACCGCAGGAATAATCTTCTTCTTCATGAAAAAGCGCAAATGGGACCGCATCCGCCAGTGCGAGGAACGGCTGATCGACTACCAGCTTGCCACGGGGTACTCGTCGAAAGCGCACTCGCGGTCCGCCACGCCGGAGGACTATCTCAGTATGATGGCGCAGTCGCCGCCGCCGACGTCCACGACGGCTCCGAACATGTACGCGTATGATACTAGCGCGGGTGCGGTGGGCCAAGGGCACGGGCAAGGACACGTACAAGGGCAGGGACAGGGCCAAAGATCAGGGTCCCGAGCACGGGGGATGTCGGCGCCCGCTTCAACAACCCTGTCGATATCGACTGTATCGCCGGAAGCACCACCGCCCGCGTACCAATCTCTGCACCCGCGCTACGACCCCTCGCGGTACAGCCAGATCAGCACGCGGTTCTCGTCGAGTTTTGAGATTCCACGGTCGAGTACGGGGACTTTTGGGACTGGGAGTGGCGCTGGGCCCGCGGGGAGTGCGTCGTCGGTTTCGGGGGTCCAGAGCTATAACCTTAACCCTAGCTTGGGGACGCAGTACCCGCAGTACCAGTATCAGCCGGGGGGGACTGCGTCGGCGTCTGCGTCGGGATCTGGATCGGTGTCGAACTGGCTATCCTCGACGACGTCGGTGCCTACGAGTACTACAGGGACAACTACGACCGTGTCGGCTGGGCCAAACGGTACATCCACGCGGGGCTCCAGGTCTCGCTCTGAGTCTGGGGAGCGAGGGCCCCGTCGCCCGCGACCGGTTCTGTCCCGTCTTATTACGAATCTCTGAATGATATGGCGAGGGCCATCAATGTCTAAAGATATCTATCGACATATCTATCTGGGAAGGCTGTCTGAGCGAAATATTTTCTTACGTTAGAGCGTTTTGGCGTCTGGGGTGGGAACAACTTTTGATACGTTGGCGTTATGGGGGTCTAGGGCAAGCACCCTAAAATTCTCTATGGGAATATGTGAATGACTAGTCCTAGGTTGGTTGGGTATCTTGATACTCTCCTGTATCCCCGGTGTCGGTCATTGACCGGGAAGTTAGGGCTTAATGATAATGGACTATGCATTGCCTTCAATACGTGCATGAACAGCCGTGCCTCTGTGAGACGCCTTCTAGCGTGAAGCGTAGGTGATCCCATAGGGACGACGCTGATAATGTTGCGAAGGAAAGATTCGTGCAAATATCTCGTCTGGTTGATTCCGCAGCTATGTTTAAACCGGCCATGTCCACATTTGTCTTCAATGGGTTGGAGGATCAAGGTTTTCGGCCTTCTTCTGCCTTGCGTGACCTTGGACGAACCTCCATAAGGTAATTCTCGCCTTCGATTCTCTAAGCTTGAGAAATTATCCAGGTTGCCTACTTATGATGGTGGTGGTGGTGATGGTGATGATGTATATGGATATGATGGATATGATGTTGCTGCACGCCCGTGTCCCTGCCAAAAGACGGCTGTTGCGCGCCAAATGAGGCCATGGCCTGCCGAATAGCTGCTTCCTCCACCGACTCTGTTGGAGCTGTGGCGATCGGGGTTTCATACGCAGGGCTGGACTCAGACTGCCGGTGTGGATGATTTTCGGGCTCGAGCTCCCGGTCCAGAGTCAGATCCAGATCCAAATCCAATCCTAGATTCAACTCCGGGAATGTATTGGAGTTCGGAACCGGGTTTAAGTCGATCGGATTTGGCTCCTCCCATCCAACTTGGTCGTGAAGATATGCTTGTAAGAATGCGTCCGCAGCGGACTCATGGCCCCTCGTCGGCACAAGCGTCTCGTCGGTATGTCGGTGGTGGAAAGCGGATGTGGTATGCTGGTTTCGATTCTGAGAAACAGGGAAAGAATCAGCACATTCAGGAGGTGTGGTGAGCGTCCCATCAGGATCTCCTAAACTGCCCAAGTGCCCAAGGGCAGGAACAGGATTGAGCGATGCAATCCCATCAAAGATTCGACCCGCAAGCCTGCCCGTAGGTGGGGATGAAGTATACAAACCATCGCGTTGTTTAGTGGAGTTGGGAACCGGCGCGGAGCTTGACGTCGGCGTATCCGTGGAGGACAGCGGCTCTGGCTCATGAGAATCGCTTTGCGGTTGCAAGGACGCCTCATTCCCAGCTCTAGCGCTCGCTCTTGCCAGCTTCCTCCATCTATTCCGACAAGTAAGCGGAGGCCGACCCGGTAGCCCCGCTGCAATAACCGACCACTTATTTCCCAGTTCAGCGACCTTGTCGGTCAGGTATCGGTCTTCGCCAGCCGACCAGTCTTCAAGGCGGTTCCGCACGGAGGGATTAAGGATGTCGTTGTAACGTTTCGAACACTGGTCATCTTTTCGGCCGGCTATGAGTGCTGCTACACCGGTTGTTAGTTCAGTCTAACCGCGGGAAATAGAATAACAAGAAGACTGGATTGTGAGGGCTCACCAATTTCCTTCCAAGCAGGCCCTAGCCGCTGGTATGCGTCAAGAAGGAGGGCATCCTCTTCTGGTGTCCAACGGCCTTTGCGGAGCGAGGGGTCAAGGGAGTGGAACCAGCGTTTGCGACAGTCCTGGCGTGGCGTTAGCAATGACTTTCATTCTGGTATTTGATCCGATCAAAGGAGAACAGACCTTGTTTGTCCGCCCCGGGAGATGTTTCGAGATCTCATGCCACCTGCTTTCCCGCCCTCGTTTATCTCCAAATCGGGTGACAAGCGAGGCGAGTTTGTCGTCTTCGGCTTGAGACCAGGTGCGTCGAGGGGGCATCGGTAGATGGAATGGGTTGAAAAAGATGCATGGTAGATTACGACTCAGCCCGCTTGCGCATGGATAAAGACAGTGATGCCTGCAGCAAGTTGAAGAAGAGGAGGTTGCTATCTGAAATTCGTGACTCGGCTCAAGTTTGTTGGAGTAAGTGGTGGCCAAAAGGGAAAGGCGCACCGCACCCACTGACTATCTCCCAGCAAGTCGAGAGCCGAGTCAGCTCCATCTTCCCCGCATGGCTTATCTCTAGTTTGTGAGTACGAAGTGCATGTGGAAATTTGCATTGATTCTGACTGACTGCATGAAGCTATGTAGAAGATCAGCTACAAATTGCTTCTACAGCACTCCCCTGCAGCCTCCGTCTCCTGCTCGCTCGGAGCCTGGTACAAAACACTCTTGTTATCGATCTGGTTCGACCCCGGCACGTCATTCGTCGGATTGAACAGTGCAAAGTTGTACGGCTTCAGATGCACCTGGGCAATCTCTGCGGGCATAACCGGAAAGTCCTCCGTGCGCGGGTTGTGCGTGAAACCAAAGGTATGCCAGATCACGATGTCCTCGTTGCGCACATTGTCGCGCTTTCCGGGCGTCTCATCCAACCAGGACTTGATCCCAGTACCGCCGAGGGACTGGTTTGTATAGTCGCCTGCGGGGAAAAGTTGGCGGTCTTTGTGTTTTGTAACCCAGATGGGGGCGGAACAGAACTCGGAACGCCTGCTGTGGAAACTGCCTGGATGGGCGAGAAGAAGCTGTGATCTGATGGGAACAAGCTTGTATCCGATTGGAGTTAACGAGACCGGGTTCTGGACATTCTCGTTGAGAATCTTGAAGACCCGACCCTTTCCGACATCATCTTCGACAGGCCCAGCACGATCAAGCACTGTTTCCTGGGTAATGTAGCCCGTGCCCAGCGGGTTAAGGACATCATCCCACGGCATTGCGACGGAGTCGGTCGAGGCGAAACTGTTCGCGTAGCCGCCAACAGCTGGGTCGATACGGATATTGAAAATATGCTGATGGTAAGGCGCCATGACGCCGTCGGCGACGCGAGTGCCCCAAGGGACTTTGGCGTCCTTATCAATTGGCTGCGTGGACAAGATTCCCGTGGCGCGAGTCTCGAATGTGATCTCGCCGGATTGGTCAAGGTACCACATGAAGATATACTCATAATTGGCAACGGTGATGATCGTCTGCAAAACTAACTGGCGCTTCCGGACAACAGTGGCCTTTCCGGTGCGGTGATTAGTATGCTTCCACTGGATGCCGTTGTCAATCTCATGGATGCAAATGGCGTTGGGCCGCAGCGCTGGAGAGCCATCAGACGCCACCACACAGCCGTCAATGTACTTGATCATCCCGAGACAATCGCAGCCAAGCTGCAGGTTGTTGGCTGTTACACCCGCGCCAACATTCCCCAAGTCAAAAGCTCCCTTGCGGTAGATGGGGTTTCGGGGATCGCCATATGGCACAAACATCTCGGAGAGTGAAAGCCGGTAGAACGCGCTCTTGCCATCGAAGGAGAGGTCATGCAGGGTAAGGCCTTCGCGCCAATTGAATCCGACACGGAAGCGCCATTTCTCCCACTCGATGAGGTGACCGGTCACGGTGAAAGAGGCGCCCTCCGGCTGCACGACCTGGTATGGCTTGAGGGTTGTCCGGGGTGGGTTCTTCTGCAGACGGTGGTCGTACTCCGGCTCAATTGGATCTGTGCGGCGATGAGGGACTGGCGAGCCCGCGGGAGTAGTTGTTTGATCGCTTCCCAAAGGTAAACGAATGATTTTCTTGACTTTCATAGCGCTGAGATCCACGATGACCATGAAATCCAACGGGAAGCAGTAGTGGTTCGAGTCAGGGTCATTGTTCTTGGGGTTGCGCATGTACATGAAGACCTGGATTGTCAGTTACCTGTTATCAGGGCATTCGTGAGGAGATCTACCTGAGTATGCCTCGTTTGCGTTTCCTCGCCGTCCACGCCATAGTCCCAGGGATCAAGGACGACGGTGGTATCATCGATCTTCAGCCGTTTAATCTCCTCTTGGACCCTCGGATCCGCCATGACCACCTGAGCCGCCTCATTCATTTCCGCGCGATCGACCGGCCCGTGAAAGTCGCGAGGCATCTCAGCATGATGGACGAACTGGTTGTTGGTAATGTCGACAATAGCCTCGAAGAGTCGCGGCGTTCGCTTGATGTACCAAATGAGGAAGATGCAGCGAGGAATGACCGGGAGAGCCTCGTTTTTATGTTCGGCTTCTAGATAGTTGACCATCGCAGCTTTCGGGGGCTCTTCGAGGCCAGCTGCCTTGAAGTGCAGCTCGATGCCATTGTAGGCGCTCTTCACGAGATTCGTGGCGCATTGAATTTCCTCGGCAGTCGCGGGGTCGAGAGGGTGGATGTGCGAGGCCATGTTTCTTCGTACTGGACAATTGGGATGGTTTGTAGGTGAATATCGAGACTCTAGGTAGAAAGACACTGATGCGTTGATATAGGAACTGCTGCTAGGGGCCGAGTCAGGACCGAGTTGGTGACTAGCAGCTGTGTCAACACGCTCTGCCAATGTCTCCAACGGGGCGTGAACTCCCACAAAGCTCCGTGATCAGTAAGTCCACAAGATGGCCATCCAGGGGCACTCTCATGGGGGAAAAGCGGAGTCATGAAGCCGACAACGGAGTTGAGAGCATTGGCTACCCTAGTGCATCCCCCAACAGCGAAGAACTCGCCGGTTTTCCACCGATTGTCCCGGCGTTTGAGTAACCCATGCTCACTATACCCCTCACCCAAGATGACTTATCTTCACAGAGGCTGGATATGACAGGGCTCAAGACAGGATTACCCCAGTTCATCTAGGTTGACTCGGCCCAACCAATAAGATGATCAGCCCTAATCTACACCAAGGCAAGGCGCATTCCAGCTTCCCCGGAGTTTCTATACTTTCCAGGGCCATAACCAAGTCGCCCGGAAGCTCATATCTCCATCTCCAATACTCTGGGCGCCGCAGCCTATCCTTCATAGTGTCAACAAGCCATCTAGACTGGGTGAGCCGAGTCATATCTTGCTGGTTCAAACACCGACTGGACAATACCCGTGTCTCAGATGCCAGACGTAACAAATCGCCTACATTATATTTAAAAAGGTCTGGAGGGCTGCGTCAACTCGGGTATCTCCACAATTGCATGATCCAAACAGAGTGGACTGCTAACATGGCCCCCCAGCAAGATCATGACTTCAAACTCACCACCGACGCTGAACGCCAGGATGAGGCCAAGTCAATCCATGAAGGTACACAGATTACCCATGCAGCTTCTGGAGATCTCAACCGATCTCTGGCACAGCGCCACTTGGTACGTTATACACTCACTTGCAGCCCCGAATATCATCTGTATGCTGACGGGCGTAGACGATGATGGCCATCGGAGGTGTCATAGGGCCGGGTTATTTTATGGGCATGGGAACTGGGCTCTCGACTGCCGGACCTGCCGGGCTGCTAATTTGCTTCGCGGTGCTAGGCTGTCTTCTCTGGACGGTCATGCAGTCGCTGGGTGAACTGGCCTCTTACATTGCAGTTTCGGGCTCGTTCACGCATTACAGCACTAGGTTTATTGACCCGGCATGGGGATTTGCTCTGGGCTGGAACTACTTCTTCCTCTGGTGCGGGATTATAATGGCGGAATACAGTACGTTCTCTATACATGGAATGATACTGATGTTCATAACACGGGGACTAACTGAGGCTCGTCCGGCAGATAACCTCGGCCTTGTTTTGACGTACTGGGAAACCGACATGCCGCGTTGGGGATGGACGCTCGTATTTTGGTTTGTACAAGTCTGCTCAAATAGGATTTACCGGATGCTGACCAGGCCAGGGCAATATTCATGTCCTTCGCTCTCCTCGGCGTCTGGGCGTTTGGAGAAGCTGAATTCTGGCTTGCCTTGATCAAAGTTATTGCCATAGCAGCGTTCTTCATCTGCGCAATTCTGATATCCACGGGCGTCATCGGCAACCGCAAAATTGGGTTCCGCTACTACCACGATCCTGGCCCCTTCGCAACCGGCGTCAAGGGCGTTTTCCAGATCTTTGTTTTCGCAGCCTTGCAACACAGCGGAACCGAAATGATCGGCCTCACAGCTGGCGAGTCTGCCAACCCTGGTAGGGACATCCCCAAGGCTGTGCGAAGTGTCATCTGGCGTATCTTGGTTATCTTCATTGGGGGGATCTTCTTTCTGACCATCACGGTTGCCTCGAATGACCCGGACCTTTTGAGCCGCACGTCCAAGACAGCCAGCTCTCCCTTTGTCATTGCGTTTGTGCGAGCAGGCGCAGTAGCGGGAGCTGATGCCGTTAATGCCATCATCCTTGTCTCCATATTCTCGGCCGTCAACAGCGCGTTGTATGTCGGGTCCAGGACGCTGTACGGGCTTGCAAAAGAAGGTGCTGCGCCGCGGATCTTCTTGTATACGATGCGCAATGGCGTGCCAATTGTTGCCCTGCTGACTTTCCACGTGGTGGGATTCCTTTCCCTCCTGAATCTATCCTCCGGTGCGGGCAAGGTGTACACATGGGTGACTTCGATGACCGGCGTCGCGACCTTTATCACCTGTGCGTCTCTTCCTTCTCCCCATGCACCATAAATACCTACAACCACTAACTTCTCCATTTACCACAAACAGGGTCCTCAATCTGCCTCTGCCACATCCGATTCCGCAAAGCCTTCCGCCTCCAGAACATTCCCACCTCGACACTCCCCTACAAAGCTGCGTTCTGGCCATGGGGCGCGTATACCGGGTTCGGAGTGTCCGTCTTCTTCGTCTTCTTCCAGGGCTGGACGGCGTTTGCGCCCTGGAATGTCGAGGACTTCTTCATGAACTACATTATTGTTCTTGTCTTTGGGCTGTTGTTTGGCTCGTGGAAGGTATGGCATCGGACGACGTGGGTTAGACTCGAGGCCGCGGATCTGAGGAGTGGCAGGAGGGGGTGGTTGATGTGATTTGCTTTGCTGTCTGTGGCTCATGTAGGACTGGGATATGCATTGATCTGCAGATCTATATGCATGTTAGGCCTGGTGCCCTTGACCTCGTATCCTCGTATAGGTATGGGATGGTGCAGGTCAATGTTGGTGTAACAAGCAAGCTTCACCCCGGTAGAAGCTGAGATTCATCATTCTGTACTAAGCATGAACCAAGATGAGGCAGTGCCCGCAGGTTGGTGTTTGGGGATTCTGTATCTGTTTTTTTGATTTGATGATACCTCACGACCAGACCAGCCGGGCTACGGACCAGCGTACGGTTGGTCCACGTATATCGTGAGTTCTTTGGTCTCCTGGGTTGGAGGACATGGTGAAAGCCTGAGACTGAGGCTCTTGATCGATCATGTTGCCGATGAAATCCAGCAGATGGATCAAGTGCATGTCTCGTAAAAAAGCTTCTAGCCGTAAGCCTAGTCGCTCCAAGCGAGCCGAGAGTCTACTCGTCACCTTGCTGAGCCCGTATTTCCATTGAGAAAGCACGACTGTGCGACCCTGCCAAGGCCGTGGACTCTGTCACTGTGCCTCCTTCCCTGGCCTAGTTCTCACTTCTCACCGGTATCTATCTACTCCGAGCAGGATTACTGCTATAAAGCTTGGTATACTACCGTCTTTCTACCGTCTCGACGAGGTCTCCGAGCAAAACGCCCATCTTCAGCATGCCTCAAACACGACGGCTACTTCATGAAGAGATAACATACTCTGTTGCCAAGGAGAAGCAGGTCAACGTCCTACGCGAACTCCAATACTTTACTCAGCGAGCTCAATTCTTTGATCTTCTCAAAAGCAAGCAGAGTTGGATCCAAGCTGTTGTCGCTCATCATCTAAATCTCAAGTCAACCGATGCGTGCCGGCTGGCAGACACTGAGGAGTGGGTTCATGGGAGTTTCAACGTCTGCATCCCAGTCACGGTCTTCAGCTGGGCCGGGGCCAAAAAGTCGCAGCCTGGGGATCGTGTGATCATCCGCTTTCCCTTGCCATACCGTGTCGGCGAGGAATTTCGGCCTGGGAATGCAGACGAGAAGCTTCGCTGTGAGGCAGGAACATACGCCTGGTTGGAGGGGACCTGTCCTGATATCCCAATCCCGCGTCTTTACGGGTTTGCAATGTCCACTGGGGAGACTGTATGAGCCCCCTGCGCATTACCTGAGACTCTACTTTGGTAACTAATCTCCTGTCTAGTTTACACGAATCGACTGCCTTCCTTTTTTATCCTCTTGGTGGCGGTGCTTGAGCCATCACATCCTAAGTCTGTTTGGTTGTCAAGTCCCTTCCAAGTATAGCCGCCACCAGAGGAAGAACGACGTGCTTGAAAGGAATCGGCTCAATGATGTCGGCTATTTATTGATTGAGTATATTGAGGAGTCGAGAGGAAGGATGCTGTCATCTACTTGGGCCGCGAAGAAAGATGATACAAAGCTCCGGACGAATCTTCTTCGCGATCTCAGCAAAATATACCTAAGCCTGTGCAAGACCCCATTGCCTAAGATTGGATCCCTACTTATTGATAATGATGGAATCCTTCAACTTGCAAACCGCCCGCTTAACATGACAATTCAGATTCTGGAGAATGAGTGTATTCCAACAGACATGCCCCGAGGAATCACCTACGAGAGAGCCGACACGTTTGTCGCGGATATCTTGACTTGCCACGACAACCGCCTTCGCCATCAACCAAACGCTATCGAAAGCCCAGTTGACTATTTCTACCAAGCAGCGCGACTTACAGCCATGCGAACAATAGCTCCGTTATTCCTCAGTCAAGACCTTCGTCAGGGGCCGTTCATATACTCACTCACCGATCTGCATGCAAGTAATATATTTGTTGACGACGACTGGCATATCACATCGCTTGTGGATCTGGAGTGGGCATGCTCCTTGCCTATCGAGATGGTCCAACTCCCTTACTGGATATCTGGTGCCACAGCCATTGATTGCGTTGACTATCATGAGCACAATGAGGTTCAAAGGACATTTGTGGAAATCCTCGCGGCCGAGGAAGACTTGACCTATTCTTGTTCAAGCAACAAAGTTTCCTCAACGCCGTTGAAATTATCGCAGGTGATGGACAGAACCTGGAAGAATAGAATGTTTTGGTATCATCTGGCTTTAGAAACTCCCACAGGGCTGTGGACAATCTTCGACCGTGAGATCCAGCCACCATTGATTAAGGGAAGTGGAAAAGAACATGGATACTTTGGGCCAATTATGACTTATTACTGGACCCGAAATACCTTGTCCATCTTACACGGCAAGATGAAGGATAAAGAAGCCTACGACACCCAACTGCAGCATGAATTTGAGGAAACAACTTAACCACCCACCAGCGAGCCTACCGTGGTAAGGGAGTGGTAGTACAGAGTATCAATCTAGATAGCTGACTGCTTTCTGCAACCTGAAACTGGCCTCATATCAAACAGGACTTTTGGGCTTAGATGGACGTGGCACTGACGGAGCTTGCAGTTACTCATCACGAGGCGAAAAGCAGAATGCACGGAGTATCCAATGATGGAATCGCATCTGAATGAGGTTGAACTTGATTAGATGCATTTCTTTTGTGCCTTTGAGCGACTGAAGGAGAGGAGGCTCCAGGCGCGAAGCTTGTGGCTGAGATTGACAATAATAATCCTTATAGCATCGCTGTCAATTATACCCGAACTCCTACGCCTCACCAGCACAAGCTGGGCTCAGTAAGACAGGCCGTGGTGCTCCTCTCTGGCATGCATTGTCTTGAAACACTTCAGGAAGAAGGGGCTCTGCGAGCCAGGGAGACAAGGCGTGTAAGCATAGGGTATGGCTGAAACCCTAATTTGCCTTTGTGTAGGGCTTGAGTGCTTCGAAGTTGGACGCTCGTATATAGGTTGAAGGACCGGTTTCTGCAAGGAGAACAAGTTGCATAATCCCCTGGATACCTGGATATGGAGATTTAGGCTGGCCATCGCTTGAGCCCTTGTAGCACAAAAGAGTACGGATATTGAGCTCAGAACTGGTTCAGCTGGGAGAGAAGAATATCGTGTTCGATCACCAGAAGGCTAACATGTGCCAGACCGGGATAGAGCAGCTCGGTCTTTACAAAAGCCGAGCTTCGGATGAAGAAGAAGGGACAAATCCCCGGCACTGCAGGAAGAGGGAGTACCGATTTTGGAAATTTCATAGGGTGGAGAACGGCCACTCCTGACATGCTTCCAATGGCGTTAGGATTATTCCGTCTCGTAGAATCTCAGACGTTGGGGTAAAAATGGCTGGCATCGGCGAGATTGATTGAGGAGGAGAAACATCGGCCTTTGGGACGTCTCCATGCACAGCCTTCAGAAGTTCTGGTTGCATATGATAGGGAATTCCTCAGATTTCGCTGTAGCAAGGTATGGAAATCAACTCGGGATCTCAAAGAAATTACCTCGATCAGGGTACCGTACTGAGGCTAGGGCCAACATGAACCCTGGTCTTTCCCTGCGTGCCCTACGGTAATCCCAGCAGTAGTACCCTAGCACCTCGGGTAACTCACCAGACGTCCTGCATTTTTGGCAAAGATCTAGCCCAGTCTCGAGATGTCTCTCTTCCTGGGTCGGAAATTCGCCGCACGACCGAGTAAGGGTAGTCCCGTCCCGTCCTTGTGTTCGAGTCGTGTGGTCGTCACCCCGGAACATTCCGGGGCGGGGATGCTTGTGCCATGCTCGCAAGGCCTAGGTAGTCTAGATTGAGACTGTGCGACTTAACTTGCCTGGCCACGCGCATTCGAGGTTTGAGACCGGTTGGTATTCTCCACGGTCAACACTTGTACGTTCATGATTGAAAGAGACGTCAGGAGATCGTCACGATTCGGACCATCAAGGACGGGGCGTAGCAGAGCGCTTAGTGTGGAAAGAATGGTGGACAACAACGAATCACGGCTAAAACATGATCTGTTGCCTGAGCGGTACACAGTACTCCAAGTATATTGGCGTGTCTAGGCTCCTTGCACAAGCTCTGGCGGGTATGCAGGGAGTTGGAGACGTGTGATTCAACGGGAACCCTGGACGCGGCTCACGCCATCAGAAAGTGTCCCGACTCTCCAACCGCAAATTGCGTATTCGAAGCGAGGAATGTACTTACCGCAGTTACTCCAAATGGCAAACCATCCCTACTTCTAGTCGATTAGACAGTGACCGGTGGGTCGAGATGATCACTGAGAGTGTGACAGGGAGATCGGCAGTCTGTGCCCAAGAGCTGCTTAGCGAGATAAGAGCTTTGCCTGGAAACGGAAGGAGCTCAGTCAGGCCACTTGAAAACTCCGACCAAGCCTCACAAGAACACCTAAGCATTATGGCTTGTCTTCCCTTTGACTTGAAGAGTTGTTCCTGGAGGTGACTCAGGTGAGTAGTCTGCCCTGACCCTGTCAGACTGGGGGATCAAGAAGATTACGAAGAGCATTTGCCATATTGGCGATCATCCGCTTGGTCTTCCTTCATTCAGAGAGCCGCCGTTTGTTGGCTTGGGTCTCCCCCAACACTTCGCGTGCTTTCTGACTGGTGGCTGACCCTGGTCGAGACCTCATCAACTTTCCATTCAGACCCTGTCAAGCCCATCAGACCCTGGTCAGACTCATCTCCAGCAGCCCCAGTCACCCCTCATGGCCTCATCGCTGGGTTGCATCGCTCTTCTTCCCCTCCAACCCCTGCTCAGAAACCGCGGCGAAGCGCTGTGCCAAGCAGACCGTCAGCCGGACTGCAGCTGCTCGTCCAGTACGATTGATATCTTCTCAAGCATCTTGACTGCGCCGCAACTTCAGTTGCCCCTCTTCTTGCGCTGATGAGGCCATCCCAGGTTGTACTCCGGTGTCTGCCTCACATCCCACCTCCTGGATCTGATCATTCTGATGTGATATTCAAGCTTACCGCTCGTCGTGGCGCTTACACTCCGCCGCGATGCCCAAAGGCTGCGCATTAACCCGGGTGATCACCGGGGGCGCTGCACTTGTCTCCAAAATGTGCTGATTTCAAATCCTCCCGTCGGGGAAACACAAGGAGGGGGTCAACCAGACTGTCGGGTCCGGTACGCGTCTCCCGCATCATCATCAGCTCATCGTCCCAAGAATGTCCGGCCGTCTCTGCCTGTTCAAGCTGCCATCGCGGAGATCTCAATGCGCGCCTTCCATCCTTTCCGTCGACGCGGACTCTTTTGTTGCTCTTGCGGTTACCTCTGGATTATGCTTCGTTAGAGGCATCATCCCATGCAGAGGGTCAGCCTCGCAGCATTGTTCTACTTTTGCTTCCCTTTCAAGCCGGTTCTGGCCTGCCGCAGAGGGGCTGTCAACAGTTGAGGACAGAATTGTACTTAACTGCGTGGTGAAGGTGCATGCGGCCCTGTTTTGCCCCTGTCTTTACCTAACATGTTTCGCAACCCTTTTCAGCCCATATAGACTCTCATCCTCAGGGCCCTCATGTTGACTGAATCTTTGCCTTTTGCAGGCCACCACCACATGAAGAATCCGTTGAAAATCATGACGGCCATTATGCACAGAATCCGCAGGAAGCGCAAGGTCTCGTCGGAGCTCGATTCTCGATGGGGTGATATGGCCATCTCCTCGCCCAACGAGGGTTCTTGGAGCCAGTATGGAGCCTCACCAAGGACCAGCCCAGTGTCCGCTGCCTCGTTCGATCACGACCATGGACCTCGACAGGACTCTAGAGAGCTCCCCGAGCCATACATACCCAACGGAAACAAAGTGGGCATCGTGAACGAGGTAACCGTCAATTCCTTAAACATGCCTACGGGCTATTATGATGCGAAACTACGACGGCAAAAGACCAAGAGCCGGCCTCCCACGGTACAGCCTGTTCAGCCTGTCCAGCCGAAACCTATTACTCTACCAAAATCATGGGAGGAGAAGAAGTTTGCGGATAGTTCGGCGGACGAAGCTGGAGACAACGTCTCTTCCCTAGGGTCTCCGCGAAGGCGAGGCACAGACGACGCCAACTCTCGTGGATCAAAATCACCTCCATTATCAGTCACCTCGCGGATGCGGCGATATAGCGGCCAGAGCACCGCGACGGATCCAATTTTCTCGGTGCCTGGAACGGCAAGTTCCCAGCGAACTAGTTTCAGCGCCGATGATCCTCGACTCGCACGGCATCCACCGCTGCCAGCGCAGCCTGATAAGAAACCTCCCCAAGGACCCAAAGTCCGTGAAGCGGACCCGAACACTGCATCGCAGGAACTAGTCCCTTCGTACGACGATCTGTATGGCTAAGCGGGAGTTTCATTTGTTGAGATTTGCTTTTCTCTATGTTTGAGAACGATACTGAGTCATGAACCTACCCGATGTTGGACAAAGTCCACGTTGTTAGTGCCGCAATCTGCTTTTTTTTGTGTTCTTTAACCTCTTTTGATCATGATCCCCTTAGCCACCAGCGAAGATACAACCTGCATTGTGGCGTTTTGTTTATTGGGTGGTTGTCTGTGATGTAGTCTAACTTGGACTTGGTGGGTGATACAAGCACGGGGCGGAGCCAGACGAGACGGAGACGGAGGTCGAGGGCCAGTTCGGACCAGATGCAAATCAACCCTGTCTTTTAATTTATAAATCTTGCTTATCATCGCTTCTCCACTGTGGGATCAATCCACTTTCCCCGGCTTCCGTGACGGCCTCGGGAGGATCTTCTGTTGTTGCTGACAGTTGCCACCAAATCCTACTCTTCGTCTGCTTTCCAATCGTTCGTTGACACTTTGAATATGCTCTCGAGGTCAAAAACCTACAGACGACCGTATCGAATTCCGAACCTCTCTCCGCCTCTTCCTCGTCACAGACTACTGTGCGAGGGAACGTAGCGTTGTCCAATCACGGTGCGGAAGCGCGCATAAGCCCGCCGTCTGCATCTCTGGTCACATCACATCCCCCGCCCACGCCCGCGTCCAACCCAATCCTCCCATCAATCACCTCGTCACAATCGACCCCAATCATCCTCTGCGCTCCCCTGCCGATGTCTTGAATTCCTGATTAGCTTGCTGGCCGGATGTCTGACCCGGTGAGGGGCCAGATGGCTGCGCTAATGCTCACGCAACTCTTGTTTATGCCCCCAGCGTTCATCTGTGATCGAATTACGGCCACTGACCGGTCGAGTCTTGACTGAGCTTGAGCCGATCGCACCACCCGGCCTTTTTATCAATTCTTTTCTTGCCAGGGTATCCCGGGACGAGACCGCTTGGAGCCCAACAGTGTTCGAGTTCGAGATGTCTGTTGCGCGCTGATCGATTCGTGCGACTCTAGTCTGTTTCCTGGTTCTGAACTTACCTTGGCCTTAAGAATCAGACTTTGCCTATCATCTTCTGAGTTTTGGATAATCTACGACACTGTTGGAGTGCTCTTTCGCTCGCTTATTTTACCTTGCCTTCTCTGGGAGAGGGGTGGTTTCGATGCCACAGAGATTGACCATCGCTTGGGCGATTTCTCTCGATATTGGATTTGCTGCACTTTAAGTATCGCTGTGTTTGACAGCTCGCAATGGTCTTGTCGGTTGGGACTTCCGTCTCTAGATGGGCGGTCTTCGGTCTTATCGGGCTTGCGTCTGGGTTGCGGACGACGCCAGGCTCGCCGTGTGCGAGTACTTGCAGCCCAACAAACGATACGCTGCCGTCAGAGGTTGTCTGTCTCGATAGTGAATATAACACTACCGAGGCAGGGAGGAAGTTCGAAGGCTGCATTGCGTGCCAGCTGCAAAGCACCTTTGTGGACGACGCGTCAAGAGAGTCGGACGTCGAATGGGGTCTCTGTATGCTCCGTCCTTTCCTGGAGTCAACGGTGATGGTCAACTAACCGTGGCAGTTAACCTTCGGTTCGCCTTCTCATCGTGCGTCTATGGCTATCCGGAAAAAGTGTCCGATATCTCCAACTCGTGTCCAGTGGCATGCAAAGACCTGGAAACATCAGTCGAGTACGATTTGGACAACCCCTCTGGCGAGAATATCGAGACATGGTGCGACACGGCCTCGTTCGCCGATAACGAGATTACCGACTGTAACAAGTGCTACAACCTGACATCAGACGAAACGCATCCCCAAGTATACCTGGCGAACTGTATGTCTCCCGTTCTTTTCGCCCAGAACTTACTAACAGGTGCAGTCCTCGAGTCCCTCCGCTACAACTGCCACTTCCAAACACCCACCGAACAAGAATTCCCCATCACCCCAAGCCGCATCTTCTCCGAGTCCCTTCTGCCTTCCTCCTCCGCAGACCTCATCTCCGGCGACGGCGGCGGCGACAACTCAAACCTAGCCCTTATAATCGCCATGCCAATCCTCGGCTTCGTGATCCTGCTCTGCATCCTCGCGCTGGCATGCTTCTTCTTCATCCGCTCCCGCCGCAAGAAGGCCCGTCGACTGCGCCAGCCAGCGCACCTCCACGCCCGCTGGAACGACACGGGCATCAGCACACCGCAATGGGCCATGGAGTACCCCGCGCAGGCGCAGGGCATGTATGGGCCGGGTGTGTATTCGCCAGAGTCGCAGCAACATCCTCAGTATGCGCAATCGCCAGGCTTCGGCTTCGGGTTCGGCTTCGTTGATAACGATGGGCGCGGGCAGGAGGTCGGGTACTCGAAGGCCGTGGAACCGGTCATTGCGTCGCCGTCGACGGCGTATTCGCCGGAGGAGAAGGGGCCGCAGGCGCATATGCAGCCGTATCCGCAGCCGTGGCCCCAGCAGTATGAGCAGCAGATGTATTTCCCGCCGCCGCCGGGTAATGGCAAGGGGAGGCAGGAGTGATTGCTTCTGTTCATGTCTGCTTTTGTTGAGCTTTAACCTGTGCCAGTCAGGTTTGACTGTCTTCCTTGTTGCATTTGCGCTTGGTGTGACCGGCGTCTGGTTGCATCCGTCCCCCATCTCACTTCCCCCGTCCTTATGATGCCCACACAAACCCTTATCGACCCCTCACGTATATCACATCATGCCTTTTGCCGACTGTTGAACGTTAAATGTTGAATAGATACCCTGAATCGAAGACTAATTAGTTAATATCAAACGCTTGGATCATCTCGCATCATGGGAAAGTAGAAGAGAAACTCTTCGGAGATCTCAAAGACTAATAACGAAAAGAGTGAGGAGTTGACTATATATCCACAGAATCTCTGGCGCCTGGGCAGGCTGGCACACTACGCGCCGGCTCGTTTCAGGCTACTGCACTACCAGCCCAAAGCCAAGAGGATATAATTAGCATATTCTCTCCCAAGAGCGGCTACCAAGAGACCATCTTCTATATTTAACTCCGTATAGATGAAAAGGCCATGGCATCGCGCATAGATAGCTGGTGACACTGTTAGGGACCGAGGGTACGGGACAAGTGCGTGTGGTGTGGTGCGCCGTCCACTGCGGAGGATCGGTGGCACAGTGGCCCTGCATACACACATCGTCTCCAGGACTAAAGGAGGGGCAGGCAAGAAAGCACAAAGAAAAATAAAAGAGAAGAGGCCACTGCTTCAATCCTACAGCCCTTTCTCACTCTTCCACTTCATCACAGCTATCAGAATGGAACCGGAGATGATCCACGTGGTCTGCAAGGCCGACAACCGCCAACACGCCGTGGTGAACATTCCCTCGTCTCCAGACCACAACCTACCTCCCTCGTCTCTCCGTGCGCGACCGATCCTTCTAGGATTGACTTCGAACAACCTCAGTTACGCCCGTGGGGGAGATCTACTGCATTGGTATGCGGCTGGCTGTACAGTGTATAATTATATCTTTCGTCCCTGACAGCCACAGGTGGAAAACGTACCCCGTCCCACCCACCGCGCCGGCCCCATACAACGACCAGGCCTCCTGGGGCATCGTCCCCGCATGGGGATACGCCACTGTCACCGAGAGCAATGTCCCTGGGATCATCCCGGATTCCCTGATCTGGGGATACTGGCCAACCTCCACGTCGCCCGCTCTCCTGCGCTTGGAACGCAGTGAGCCTGAAGGACACTGGGTTGAGGTTAGCAGCCATAGACAACAGCTGATGCCTATATACAATCGCTATGAATGTGTACACTCTGATGAAGAGAACGAGGCGGATGAGAGGGCGTGGGGAACGGTTTTCCGAGGCGTCTGGGTCGCCGGATACCTGCTCAGTGAGTATGTGTTTTCTCCTGACCCGCGCGCACGAGAACCGGTTCATCCGCTTGGCGACGCGAGTGGACTCCCCTGGTCTGCGGACGATGCGGATCTCTCGTCTGCTGTTGTGGTGGTTTTGGGGGCGTCGACCAAGGTTGCACGGTCGTTTTCGTGGTGTCTTTTCGATAGGCCCAGGGAGAGTGGACCCTTGGGTTTGGTGCAGGTCACTTCGTCGCCTGGTGCGTTGCAGGAGGTGGTTGATGGAAAAGGCTGGGCGGGTTGGTCCAAGACATTGGCATATACGGAAATCGACCGAGCAACTGAGTGGATTGAGGGTCTGCAGCCGTCAAAGGTGGTGATTGTAGACTGTGGGGCGCGGGACAATGTCCTCAGTCGGATATGCCAGAATGTTCAAGAGTCGGCGCTCCGGTCGTGCAAACCTGTCATTCTGCAGGTGGGCAGTCAGCAGAAGGTATGATTGTCTCTCTGAATTCGAGTCTGAGGTATTCCGTTGACTTGATTCAGGTGTACACGGCAGACGAAGTCCAGGCTGCTCGTGCAGCTATGCAATCGCTTGGAAAGATCCAGTACAACACCTCTGGCATCCAGGATACAGTCATCACCCGGGAGGGAGCTGCAAGGTATTTCGGAGAGGTCTCGTGCAGGTGGAAGGAATGGTTAGCACATCGTGCCTCTGCCATCCCTGACATGGGTTTAGTCTATGGACAGGGCATTGCTGGAGAGAATGGAATATACGGGGGATGGGAGAAACTTTCCACTGGTGCAGTGCGCCCTGAAGAGGGATTGGTTTATGCCCTGTAGAACTTCGTTTCTCAGCGGCAGAGATGAAATGCAGTATAACCTCATTCATTCCCTTCCAAATCAACTCCCGCACGACGCTGTGCACCCCATCCGTGCCTACCACCAAGTCCCCCCTCTGCTTGCTGCCGTCAGCGATAAGGACGTGGACTTCCCGTCGCGCTCCTGGATGTCTTGGACCCGGCACCGCTCGATGACACGGGACTTATCCCGTAGCTTATCATACAGTGTCTGTAGTGATGCCCTTCGTTCGAGCGTGACTGTCGTATGCCCTTACTACACCCGGCGTAAGCCCTGGAACTTCGTACTTTGGAAGGGCCGTATACCGTTTCATAATTGCCTCAAAGAACCACTGCTCGTGACAGATGTTTCCGTCCAGCCCGCGGAGACAAAACAGCTCCGTCGTCGTATACTGTGCCAAGACCACATCGAAACAGTTGATCTGATGCAGAATGTGGCAGGCGTGCGGATGAGCGTGATACTGAGCCCCCAGGGTGGTGCGACGACCCCTTTGCCACTAAGACATAGTCGAGGCCCGCGGGATCGAGGGCATGCGCGAGGGTCAACCCTGCGACTCCGGGTCCCACAATCACCACGCGAAAAGGGTCGTTAGGAGATAAGGAAGGTCATTGTGAATGCGTGCTGCAATTGCGAATTGTAAATCGGCTAGTGAGGCATGTAGAGATGCTGTTTATGGCTAATGCCATAGAGATGAGCTGCATTTAGGTGAAATCGAAATAGCCAGAGTAATGACGGCCGGTGAAGCACGGCTTACCCGTAGCGTCTGAGTCCGAAGCCCATCGTGCCTTAGGTAGTCTGGTGGTGGTACCTGTCGTGCGGATATTGCGCGTGGTGCACCCGTGCGGAGATCGAGACCTTAGCTCCGGCCTGGCAGCTGTTTTCAACTTCTCCCCTCACCTCTCTCCCACCGCGAGCAAACAATTCGACTTCCCCATTCTACCACGACAATCTCTCAGCTCATAGATCCATTCGCGAATCCCCTACCTCCCCAACGACCGAGGAAAAGTCAACAAAAACCCCTAAGTCAAAATGACAACCCCCTCCCCCGACCAAATCAAAACCCTCGAGCAATCCCGCCAACGCCTAATCCAACTCACGCACTCCCTGGGCTCGCTAATCACAAGTCTAAACCAATCCGACCCGTTACCATCATGGTGCGCAAATTCTTTCATTTCACTCCACGCCTCCCCATCGCCCCAATGCTAAATGCTAACACATATTCCTCGTGCGCAGGCCCTCCCTCCAAACCCAAGCGAGCATCATCTCCAACAACCTCCAAAGCATCTCCACGCACCTCTCCGAGAACCACGAGTTACTACGCAGCATATCCGCGCTTCCAGCGCCCGAGTTCCCTACAAAGACGCATGGTAATACACTCGAGCAGCTCCTGCGCACGAAGCTCGATCCCCGGGTTGAAGATTGGGTGAGTCGCGGGCGGAAAGCCGATAATGCAGCTGCGCAGAATGCGGCGTCTTCGTCGGGTAGTGCGGGGATGTTCTCTACGCTTCCGTCGGCTACGGCTGGTGGACTTGGTGCTGGTGTGACGGGGGCTGGAGCGGGCGGGCTCAGCGAGGGGGATCTTGCGGCGTTGTGGGAGTGGGCGCCTGTTGAGGCGAATGCGGAGGCGAGGAAGAGGTCTTGGGGAGGAAATTTTACATTGGAGGAGAGGGAGAGGGGGATTGAGAGTGTTGTTGCGGAGTTGGGATTAAGGAGGGTGTTGGAGGATGATGAGGAGAGTGAGGAAGAGGAAGAGGAGGACATGGACCTTGATTTCGGTGGGAAAGCGGAGGGTGCGGGCGATAATGCGGGTGCTGCGGCAGGGGAGCAGGTTTCACCTGTGGTGCCGATGAATGATATCCTACGGTACATGACTACGGGTATATTGCCGGCGGTGCGGTAACACGACAACCTGGAAAGCGGTTATACTAGCATCTTTTATGTGCTCATCTGGATATTGAAATGTTATGACAACAAAAGAAGAATCAACCATCTTGAACGATCTAACCGCGTCGACGAGTTGTGGGCGTCCTGCCCGATGGCTTCGGGGAAGGTGACGCCGCCGCCGAAGAGGCTGAGGACTGGATAGGGGAAGAAGCGAGGGCTGGGCGGCCCGGCCTCCTGGCTCTTTGTTCCTTCTCCGTCTTTGTAGGGCTGTTCCAGTAGTACAGCATCTGGGCGGCGAGGACGAGGTTCAGAGAGAAACCGGCGAGGAATCCATACAGAATGAGCTTGTCGTCGACCTCCTGGAGAGTGGTGAAGATGCGGGACAAGGAGCCTGCGAGGTAGTTGAACACCTAATAACATTAGCATATTTCCTAGGTTTCGAATCAAACTTCTCATACCGCGAAAGCACTCAGTTGTCCAGTGCCGCCTTCTTGCCAAATGGTAAGAATCTGGGGTACTTTGCTGGCGACGCCTAGGGCTCCAGCGCCAGCCTGAAGATATGCCATGGTTTGTGCATCAACAATGGTAGTGTCAACCAGCAGGGTGTAAATGCTCGCTGCTACAACGGCAACGAACGCAGCCGCAGCCGCGGATCGACCGGCATATGTCAAGACTAACACACCCACCAAAACATCCTGCGCGGCAATGAATGCGGACTCGCCATAGGTGCTGAATGGGAACTGGTTGCGCACTCCGTAGGACAGCGTAATCAGCAAGCTGGCGGTTTCAAGCGCGTACGACACAAAGGACACGCCCGCAGAGGAGCCGGATCGGATGAGCTTGAGAATCTGGGGAACCTTGACGATTCCACTGGCGCCAACAATGCCGATTCCGAGGGCCTTCGAGATTGCGAGAGATGTACACTCCGGGTTCTGAGCGAGGTCAAGGTTCACAACGAGTGTGTCGTGGCAGTTCGATCCGATCAAAGAGACGATCGCATCGTGGACAGGTTGCGGCACCGACGCGACGACGGGGCGAAGGTAGGGCTGGAGAGGATCGACGAGGGTCTTTTGAATGACATCCATGATGGCGGCAGACGATAGTTAGAGCACTAACGGAGTTTGCCTCTGGAGCTAAAAGTCTGGAGGAGGGGAAGCTGACGGGCAGGAAAAGGCGTGGTAGTGGTACGATGACCATCCGCGGGTTCTTAGTGGCTCCTTCCAAAAATGGCTGCGCTTTTGGTCTCTCCCGCCAAGCCGACCATTTTCTCCCGCGCCGTCTTTGGCTTCATATCAACAACCGACGTCAACAGTGCATTCCGCTGTCAGTCACAGGCGCTCATCTGCCGTCATGATACTCCGGACCTCTTTACGGAGGTTAGGGGCGGCTCGCGAGTCGTCTTGGTGCTCGCAATGCCTCAATCGCAACCGCCCAATACTCCCCGCAGTCAACAAACTCACCACCATCTCGCGATTGCAATCGACCGTTACCGGACAGTCACAATCAACGCCCCTGAACAAGGCGTATTTCTCCTCCCATAAGGGCGAGACCAACCTGCCCCCGCAGCCAGCGCTGTTTACCTCGCTTTCGCCCAACAACTCCCCCAGCCAGTCAAACCGCGAACCCTCGATTTCTAGCGCATCACCGGAGCAATCGGAGCTGCCTCATCGTCGAAGGAAGCGCTTAAAGGAAGCGGCAGCACAGAATAATGGTTCTGAAGCGGTAATACCGCCAGATGCTTCAGCGCAATTGTCGAATTTCTCGTCAACTCTCCCCAAAACCTCGCTGCGCCGCCAGTTGGCCGCCTTCTTTGCTCTCACCAAACCCCGTCTCTCATTCTTGGTCCTGCTCTCGACGACGTCGGCATATGGAATATACCCGGTATCATCTATTCTTGCTCTCGACCCTACAATCGCCCCGCTTCCTACCCTTTCTACCTCTACCTTGACGTTCCTCTACTTGACGACCGGGACATTCCTCTCCGCCTGCAGCGCCAATACATTGAACATGATCTTCGAGCCTAAATACGACGCCATGATGTCGCGCACACGGAATAGGCCTCTTGTTCGTGGTCTTGTCACCCGGCGCGCTGCCGTTCTCTTCGCCATCGCAACGGCCGCCGTAGGGCTGGGTCTGCTATACGTCGGAACCAACCCCACAGTGACCGGACTGTCGGCCGCTAACATCGCGCTCTATGCATTTGTCTACACGCCATTGAAGCGGATGCATGTGATCAATACTTGGGTTGGTGCTGTGGTGGGTGCTATCCCTCCGATGATGGGTTGGGTTGCGGCAGCGGGGCAAGGCGCAACGACTGGACACGACACATGGCGGGACATGCTCTTCGGCGAAAACAGCCTAGGAGGTTGGCTTCTCGCGGGTATCCTCTTTGCTTGGCAGTTCCCCCATTTTAACGCCTTATCTCATACTATCCGTGAAGAATATAAAGGAGCCGGCTACAAGATGCTTTGCTGGACGAACCCAGCCCGCAACGCTCGTGTCGCCCTGCGCTACTCGGTTCTCATGTTTCCTCTCTCGATCGGCCTCTGGTGGGCAGGCATCGTAGGACATGGCTTCTTGGTTAGCAGCACAGTGGCCAATGGTTGGCTGACGAAGGAGGCTTATGGGTTCTGGAAGCATCAAGGTGCTAATGGTAGCGCTCGAGGCCTGTTCTGGGCCAGTATCTGGCAGCTGCCCATCCTTCTTGTTGGTGCTCTCGTCACGAAGAAGGGCCTCTGGGACGGTGTTTGGGGAGGCATCTTCGGCCAGCCCATTGAAGACGACGATGACGATTATGTATACTACGAGGAGGTCTCTGGAAAGGCCATTGAACGGAGTCCTGCCAGTCGGTCAAGCCCTGTTGCTTGACCGGGCTTAAATGGTGGTCTCACTTCTCTTCTCAGCCTGTATTACATTGTTTTGGTAAGGGATGGCGTTTTGCATAGGGTATATGGTGTGTTCTCGTTCTTGATCTGTCTAGATGTACATATATTCGTTGTTGAATACGAAAGCTCCAGCACTGGGCGTCTTTATCTGCTGTTCCTGCCCATAGCTCAAGGTTAGCTGAACGTATTAACATTGTCCCAGGCACCTCTACATATTGGTCAACATGGCCATCACAGAAAGTAGCGCGCTGACATCCCCGTCCGGTTGGCCCCTCCAGCGCATTGCGGCGCAGCCATACTAACGTCGATTCGAATTGAAAAGGTCGTCCACGGCAACGAGCACCACGGAGATCCGACAGTACGCAAAAGTCTGCGAACCCGAACCGGTTTTTGCGCCTGCATCCCCCAGCCGACACCACGCGTCCCTCCGGCACAGCCTACGGCTACCGTCCAGTCCTATCTGAGCTGACTCCGCCTATCGGCGCGAGGCTGCTGATGGATTACTTCGAGACACCTAGTTGATACAGCCCAACTCGACGTTTGTGTTCCGGACTTCCAGCGGCTGCCGAAGGTGGATGGGGTGCTTGCCTCGCGTTATCCAGAACTTAAACTCGCGTGAGGACACTACGTAGGAGAGATGGGGACGGGACTGGGATAAGGTGAGCGCTGGGTAATTGCTGTGCCAAGCTAACTACCAAGGACTGCGTGAGTTTCAACCTTGGCATGGGCCTTCCCGATTGATAGATATATCCAGTTCAGGCGAATCCAAAGCCTCTATGCACACATGCAGGCTAGCCCAGGCCCCTCCACCAACGCTCCCCCAACCAAAATCTAACCAAGCTCTCGCCTAGCAAGAAACAAAGTTATTCCCACTGGCCCCCGTATGCGTAATAACGCCCGCAAGCTGCCCGTTCCCATTGAAGATGACGCGGTCCGCACCAGGCGAGCCGCCGTTATAGATACTCCCCGAGCTCATGATCGGGAACTCGTAGTACGTCGGCGAGACGCTGAAGTCGAAGCCCTCGTAGTTGTTGTAGACGTGCGGGTAGTTGTTCACGTCGCTGCCGGACTGCTCGAGGCTGTAGCCGCGGCTTCTTGCGGCGGAGACGGCGGACGAGCTGTAGCAGACGCTGCCGCAGGTGTAGGCGCAGGATTGGCGGTCGACGAGCTCGGTTGGGAGGGCGAGGGTGAGCGAGGAGGAGAGGAGGAGGGTTAGGAGGGTCTGGGGTTGTTAGTATGGAGGATTGGGGGATGGAGAGGGGAGGGGAGGCGGACCTTGACTTGGAACATCCTGGCTGCGTTTGCGTTTGGGTGTGCTTGAGCTGGGCTTGTATACCGGTAGAGGTGGTGGTGGGATGAGGGGAGGTGGTGAGCGCTTGATCTTTACCTAGAGCTGGGATAGACGGATACTTATACCTCCTGGCCAGACTTCCTGTCTAGCTGAGCTCCAGTATCAACTATCACTGATCGGCCTCCTCCGATCCATCAAGGCCCATACCAAAACTGTATCAGTCCGCCAACCCCGAGGTTACATCGCATGGCAAGTATACGGAGTAAAAGGAGGTCTTGGCACGTGTGCAATGGCACGAAATGAATGGTTCACATGGGCCTGATCGACAGTGGAATTTCCAGAGACGTGCGCCCTGAGGAATTGGCAGCGAAGAAGGGTCAGGGGGTGAGCCAATCAGACTCGATCAGCAGGACATGCAGATTACAGCCCGATAGGGAGTGGCCGTCGTCCTGCTGATCGTCGTTTGGATCTATGGGCCGTGGGTTTACCAAGATACCGACGAGATACTTCCGGGCGCATATGGAGTACGTGGCATACTGGTGAGTATGACAGGGTGCACTTGGCAGGGGCATGTGCTGCGTGGGCGGGGTTTTAGTGGTTTGGTTTTGTTTACAGGGAGTATAAAGTGGACTGCGAGGGTGCAGGTGAGGGGTCTGGTCTACCCCGTGCTCGCTATCGGCGTTGCCATCTGCTATCACTATCTACTAGGTATCAGCGTTAGATTAATTCCATCGACTCCGCCGGTGATCGCAGATAGACTCGGACCAGAACAATACTATTGACCACTACTATCCCTTATCCAGGAATTCCTCCGCGCCGTTGGATGTTGCATCGCCGGGGGTTCCGGATTTAAGATTATCTCGCTGCTCGCTTCGACAGCTTGCTCAGAACCCCCAACCCTGGTCATGTCACAACCTCGGCTGTTCGTTATCAGCGTTGTCGCAAGTCCCCGTCGGCGCAACGTCAGGCTGGGTTATCGCAACTCATGACACCACGTACTCAGCGATCACTCGACTCTCTGAACAACGGACCCCTGTTCCGCCTCGAGCCTCGAGACCTGCGCACCCGTCGTGGCACCCTGCGTCAGCTCAATCGCATCGTCGGTGTCGCCCTCCTCCCACCCCTCCCTCTCATCCTTGACCCTCCTCACGAACGCAACATCCAGAAGCAGCGCTATAGCACTAATCGCGACCCCAAAGTACAATGCCGCACGGTAGCCGGTTACGTTGTTCCCCGACGTCTTCGCAACCTGCACCTCGACCGTGGATGCAAACCCCAGCCCCAGACTATTCCCATACAGATTCAGCGTCCCGATAATGGACCCCGCAACGCCCTGCTGGTGTCGCCGGACAGTATTGCTAGCGATGATCTGGCCAGCCGTATACACGAAGTCCGGGCAGAATGAAAACAGCACGATTGAGGGGAACATCTGGGCCCAGTAGGTCTGTTTCAACGGGATTGTAGCTACCAGAACGGTCGAGACCATCACCGTTACCGTACCCAGGGCCAGGATCCATTGCGCTGCGAGCCGGGGGATTAGCCAGGCGGCGAGACAGGCTGCAAATGTCCCGCAGATGACAAAGGGTGTCCAGCCTATGGCGAATTGAAGCGTGGACCAACCCCAAATCTCTTGGAGCCAGAGGAGCTGGTACCATAGGACTGTACCGACGGTCATGTAGTTGAGGAGGATCACTAGGACGAGGATGGCAAAGGACGGGGCTTTGAAGATGGAGGGTGGCATTATAGGATGGGGTGTCTTATGCTCCCAGACGATGAACAGGGCAAACAGTACGACCGACACCACGAGGAGCGCAATTTCGTAAGGTGTTGACCAGCCAACACTGGGCGCTTGACTGGTAGTATAGAGTATTAGTGGCTGATCATAGCGCAGGTTGTTGGTTGAGCTCCTATTTGCTTACTTCCAGACAAAATTGAATATAATCAGCGAGCTTGTACCCAAAGCAGCACCAATCCAATCAATCTTTTCGTTCCGACTCGATGTCGGCTGGTTCTTGCTGAGAAGCCAGAGAGGTACGAATATCACGGCAATCAGACCAGCCCTACTTCCTGTCAGCTGTATCCGATCAATCACCAGAAGAACCGGGAAATGCTTACACAAAAACGAAGAACCACCTCCAATGCGTCTTCTCCATAAACGCTCCAAGGAACAACGCAGAAAAGTACCCTCCCAGCGGCGCCGACGCCGCAAAGAACCCTAAACTCAGGTTCCGGACTCTCCCCGGCGGATTCGTGATCGCGATCATGGCCACCGCGTTCGGCATGATACAGGCGCCCCCGACACCAGCGAGCGCGCGCATCGTCACAAACGCGAAGAAATTGGTGTGGACGAAGGCGCCGATGAATGAGCACAGGACGAGCCAGGAGCCGCCCCCAAGGAGCATCTTGCGGTGGCCGTAGACGTCGCCGAGACGGCCGCTCATGAGGACGAATGTCCCTTGGGTGAGGCTGTCTACTTAGCTTCCACTTGTTCTTCGGGGACTGTGTAGGGTTATACTAACCCATAACTTGCGGCGATCCAGGTGGCGTATGTTTGCTTGACGCCCATAGACTCGATGAACGTTCGGCCACCGGCAACACCAGCGAAGTTGACAATCATCTATACTCTTCTCAGTATCCCGCGAATCATGTAGTTAAACCTGGGTTCATACCTGAGCCAGGTTCGATATGACAATCAGCGTAGTGATAGCCAACTGGCGGTACCGACTCGTTTCCGGCAACGGAGCTCGCTCGAATACCTGTTGAGCTTGTTCCGGCTCCGCTTGTGCAGGCAGAGTGCGCGGTGCATCCTGCAGATGTTGCTCAATGGTGTGTTCTGTATTTATCTCTGCAGAGGGGCGTAGACTGGTCTCATTTGAAGCAATGAATGGATTTGTCGCAGCCGCCTCGGGCTTCGACACCTGTGAGCCGAGCTCGTGGTGCAGGGTAGGAGCGAACGCCATGATTACTGCAATTGCTACCAGAATATGAAGGAATCCGGGGCATGGATCTGGCGGGGTTGGAGTAGAAGAGTCAGGACGACGTCAAAGCGGTGCTGACATATCAGGACGGATTGTTTGCGCAGTCTCGGAAACAAGGCCGTTGGGCTCTTTGCTATGACCCTCTTTCTCCATGTCGCTTTCTCAGAGGCTCGCTCAAAGTGTCGCTGGAAATGCATTCCCGAGTTCAGTGTCCACAGTTCGGAGATGGCAAAGGTTGGCGGCCTCAGGCAGTGAGGCAGCGAGGCAGCAAGGCCATGATCCCTGATCCACGCTCAGTCGAGATCGGAATCTGACATCTCACAGATCCTCAGCCTCCTTGCCGCAACCTGCTGCTCCTATTTCAGTGTTCGTGCATTTCATGGCATTCCATGGCCTGATATGCGCTATATCAAGTGCACCGATGACATCTGCCCATCCCCAGCGGTTGCTAGAAGCAGACTGATTCGCCCCCGCTAAAGATATACTCCGCGCTGAGGTGAGCGTCAAGGCGCGGTTCGCAGTTCCATCGAGCGACGTGCTAATGTTGATGTTGGCCTCAGATCATATGGCCACGGTCGTCGCCTATCATATATTGAGCTCATATGTCCCGAATCCGAGCCCCGAGTAAAGATCTGCGTCTTTTCTGCATCATGATCGCGGGCTCGCCGCAAAGACCGCAAAGTTTTGAATTCCAGCGCGCTGGCAAATCAACTAAGTCCAGCTGAAAGAGTCCGAAGGATGGGCAGAGTCGCAATCAGTGCGCTAGATCACCTTGGCGGAAATGAGGCCTGCATGAGCCGCCATGAAGAGATGTTGGCGTCCACTCATCGTCTAGTCATGAGGCACGAAGGAACAGCTGGTCTAGGCGACCGGTGATCGGCGTCCAAACCAGGCTTCATTGGGGATGGAGGCTGCAGCGACAGGATGCAATGCCTCAATGGTGGTCAGCCCTACTCAGCTCCTGCGCTGTGGACACTGCCACCGTCACCGCGATTCTTGAAGTTATAAACCCGCTTCGTTCTCTGGAATTGAGGAGCAGAACGTCTTGGCCCACCGCCGTTAAGTTAAACCATCATGTCTCCACAATCCCATACTAGCCCACTGCGCGATCGCCTGCCGAACTCAGCTTCAAGTCCGCAGCCGCGGCGGCTTGTGCTCTGCTTCGATGGCACGGGAAACCAGTACATGGGGACCGAGGAGGATACGAACATTGTCAAGATCTATGAATCTCTTGAAAGACATAAACCCGGGCAATATGCCTACTATCAACGTGAGCTGACCGAGTTGGCAACTTCAGAACTATAGAAACTGATCATTGTGGTTACAGCTGGAATTGGAACCTTGACCTACGTCCGAGGCTCTTCGCGCCAAACCAGCGGCTTCAGCATGTGGGCGAGATTCAAAGCACGCATCAGAGCCCTGATGGACGAGGGACTAGGAGTATCTTTTGCCAGCCATCTAATCGCTGGCTACAAATTCGTGATGCGCTACTACTCCACCGGCGACCACATCTACATCTTCGGGTTCTCGCGTGGCGCGTACACAGCTCGATTCCTCGCAGAGATGATCCACAACATTGGCCTTCTCTCGCGTGGAAACGAAGAAATGGTCCCGTTTGCCTGGGATACATTCAGCCGCTACCAAAGCTCCCGAGGCAATGTGCCGCAGACTGACGAGGACCGAGAGCTAGCGCGGTACATGAAGAAATTCAAGACGACGTTCTGTCGCCCCGACGTCGGCGTGCACTTCCTCGGCCTCTTCGACTGTGTGAACAGCGTCGGCCAGTTCGAGATTCCTTTCTTCCGCAAGTCGTACCGGTACATAGCCAGCCCATCGGCACGACACATCCGTCATGCTGTCTCGATCCACGAGCGTCGGCTGAAGTTTAAGCCTGCGCTCTTTCATATCGACCCGAAGCATAAAGACTGTGTGGATCTAAAGGAAGTGTGGTTCGCTGGAAACCACGGAGATGTGGGTGGTGGATGGCCGTTGAGCAAGCGCCAGAAGCACCTTCTGTCGGATATTCCGCTTGACTGGATGATCCAGGAGGTATTGAACTTACCTGACTCGGACAGCAAGCTGGACTTTATGCCAGCGAATGTGGAACACATGAAGAGGACTGCGACGCACTCGCTGTGTAGAGATACGGAGCCAGGCACCGAAGCCTACCATATAGCGCAGAGAACATACAAACCTCACGATAAGCTGCGCTTCGGGCAAGGCGGAAGCGCCTTCTCCGTCATCTTATGGTGGATTTTAGGTTCGTCTTCTTCCCCCTTCCCATTCGCTTTTCTTCTTTCCTAACATATAACCCTACAGAGGTCCTCCCCATCGCAACTCGCCTCGAATTAGAGAAAGGGAAATGGGTTCCACGACGTCTCCCGCCAAACATGGGAGCTTCGAGAGACATTCCGCGCGGAGCAGCGATCCACCCGAGCGTGTATGAGATGCTGGATTCCGGTATCTTAGATGACTTTCCTATCCCCAAGCCGGGTGGTGATAACCCGAATCTCCCTCCGAACCTTGTTGACGATGAGCGACTGCATATGCAGAAGAGAAACGGTGTGGCGGCGTAGGCATTATAACCTGCCTACTGCTAGACTTATGTACAGAGGTTGTTTTGGGTAATGATGTTTGTGCCATAGTGATGTTTACCTTTTGGAGAGATACTGTTTTTATAAACCATCCAGCCGAGTCTAGAATATTAAAATTTCTAGAGAGCAATTCCCGGGACGTGATCTACTACCCATAATACATTATCAACAACTTCAAATAGTAAATTGTGCTCTGCATGCAGCATAATCAAGGGATCAACAAACTCGGTTACCGACGGCGCGTGACGTTCTCCTCGCCCGACGCCAACCGCTTCTCCGCACCCTCCAGGGCCTCAATCTGGGGAAGTCAATCGTACAAAGATCCCTCTCACCCCTACATTTCCTACTTCTCAGATCAAACAACAAACACAGAAAGCCATGATATCCCCAATACCCCTACCACGCCGAATACCGCCGGTGCAGCTCGCGCGCTCCCTCCGCACCCCATCACTCCAATCCCCGCTCTCAGTCCCCATCTCCAAGCGATGGAGCACATCCCTTTCCCAGCGTCCAGGGTCAGATCGGTGCGTCTCCACCCGTCAATTAACAAGGAAACAAGGCTGATTAGTATCAACGGACAATGCAGAGTCCGATTCCCTGGCGCGGTCAACAGCAAATTCACAGCCGAAATGGCCTTCATCAATCCCATGGATACACCGGGCATCCCGACATACCGCGTGATGGATTCCGATGGTGTACTCGTTGGCCAGAGTCGGAGTGAGCTGGGGTTTACCAATGAAGATGCTTTGAGTTGGTATAGGAATATGCTGACGGGTTGGTTCTTTTCTCTATATTACGATGGTTTGCGGCCCGATGCTGATGGGGTGCGTGGATATGTAGTGAGCATCATGGACGTGATTATGTTCGAGGCGCAACGGCAGGGGAGGTTGAGTTTCTACATGGTACAACACTATTCAGCACCCATTCGAACCTAACATAATACCTCTAGTTACTGACAAGTCGCTACGGACAGGTCTCTGCCGGCGAAGAAGGCATCAGCGTCGGCTCCGCCGCAGCCCTAACCCCCGACGACGTCGTCTTCGCGCAGTACCGCGAAACCGGCGTGTTCCAGCAACGCGGCTTCACCCTAAAGCAATTCATGAGCCAGCTGTTCGCCAACGCAAACGATAACGGGCGTGGGCGGAACATGCCCGTCCACTACGGGTGTGCGTATCCGAAGACTGTACGCATCACGCCCTCTCCAACATCTCCCATGCTAGAGTTAGAGTGGACATTGACAGAAGCACAGCACACAATCTCCTCAACCCTCGCGACGCAAATCCCGCAAGCTTCAGGCGCCGCCTACGCCCTCAAGCTCCAAGCGCTCCAAAACCCAGACAAACCACCGGCCATCGTAGCCTGCTACTTCGGCGAGGGCGCCGCCAGCGAAGGCGACTTCCACGCGGGGCTCAACATCGCCGCGACACGATCATGCCCCGTCGTCTTCATCTGCCGGAACAACGGGTACGCCATCTCCACACCAACACTAGAGCAGTACCGGGGCGACGGGATCGCGTCGCGCGGGGTAGGCTACGGCATCGACACGATCCGCGTGGACGGGAACGACATATTCGCAGTGTACGAGACCATGAAGGCCGCGCGGGGCCTCGCACTCTCCGGTGGCGGGAGGCCAGTGCTCATCGAGGCGATGTCGTACCGCGTTTCGCACCACAGTACGTCGGACGATAGCTTTGCGTACCGGGCGCGCGTGGAAGTCGAGGACTGGAAGAGGCGGGATAATCCGATTATCCGGTTGCGGAAGTGGCTTGAGAACGAGGGGCTTTGGAATGAGGATCTGGAGAGGCAGGCGCGGGAGGGGATTCGGAGGGACGTCCTGCGGGAGTTTGGGGAGGCGGAGAGGGCGAAGAAGCCGGCTATTCGGTTTGCGTTTGAGGATGTTTATGAGGAGGTTACGGAGGAGGTGAGGGAGCAGATGGGGGAGTTGAAGAGGATTCTGGAGGAGTATCCTGAGGAGTATGATCTTAGGGGGTTTGAGGGGGGGATTAAGGGGTTGGATGAGAAGTAGGGTACGTATAGACTTACACCTGCTGGTCTGCGATGATCATATTAGACCTTACTGCATGAATGATATAACGATTATGATCCGACTGTGATCCTACGTTTTCAAGGAGTGTAGGGCAAGTTAGACAATAGGCATGGGATATTTTATTGAATCGTAGATTTACTCAAACATGATGTGCGCGCTAAAACATAAATAATGTGAGGTTCATGACACAGACATGTACAAAGCCACTAAGTAGCTAGAGCCTGCTGCGCAAGCTTCTTGTTCCGTTTGACCAGCGCACCCAGCTTCTTATCAATCGCATCAAGCTCCTTCCTCGACGCCTCAAGCTCCTTCTGACTCTTAACCGCAAACGAACGCAGCTCCTCATCCGTCATCCCAACAACATCGTCAAGGTCAGGCAGATTCCCGATAACGACACCCGCTGCACCGAGCATGTGTTTCGCGGTAGCGGCCGCAAACGAGCGGACTGAGGTCGCCGTCGCATTCATGAGCTCGGCGGCGTTGGAGATGGCCCAGTTGTGGTTGCGGGTGCTGTCTGCTTCCATCGCGGAGAGGACGTTGGGCGGGATGGAGGAGAGCGGACCCCCGTCGGTGGTGGAGTGCGCGGAGGTAGGTGACGATGCGGAGAGCGCGCCGGCGGAGGTCTCGTCGACCCAGCAGATGTTGAAGTTCTCTGGTGTGGCAAAGAGGGCGTCGAGACCGCCGCCGCGGTTGGTGGCGTCTGGCTCGGTGATGGGGATGGCGGGGTATTCTTGGAAGGTGTCGATGGCCCAGGATATGCTCTTCTCAAGGGCGAGGTAGCGGTCTTCCTCCTCAGGGGTTAGATGGTGAAGGATGCAGCCCCGAGGGCTAATCAGGCAGCGATGCTTCAGCGAGCTTGAATCCGAGCCCATCCGGATCGGCTCTCCGCGTAGCAAGGCTTTGCGATGCTGCTCGGTCAGCTCAATCGGTTGCTTGAGGTCTTCGTAGTCATCCGAAGTACACTTCATGTCGAAGCGTTGGTTGAGGTTGGAAGGGTTGAACAGAGGGTGGCTGTTGAGATCTAGGGCGCCCGACTTGTGAAGTTGCGAGAGCAATGCTTGTAGAGGGGAAGTGCGCTCAGCAAAGAGTTCTTTGAGTGGGACGCCAGTAGCTTCCGTATCCTTCAGTAACTGTTCCACAGTGTTTTTTGACCGCCATGCTTCGGGCTTTTTCTCCTCGGCAGGCGTTTTCACTTCGGACGGTGCAGGCTTCGACTCCTTAACGGTCTCGGGCGACTTGGGCTTCTTGGCTGCTTCAACCTTCACAGATGGCTCAGTACTGGCTGCCGCGGCAGGCTTGGTAGCAGGAGCAGTGTTCTCCGAAGGCGTAATAGGCGACTCAGTAGGGGCCTTTTTGGTCTTTCGCTTTCTGCCGACGATAGGTGCGATCTCTGGCTCTTCAGCTACAGGCGTAGTCTCCTGCTTCTTGGCCTCTGCTTCCTTGGCTTTTTGCTTTCGCTCCTTCTTCAACTGGCTCTTGGTGATAGATCTCACTGGCGCAGAGCCGATTCTCGATGAAGCGGGAGGGGAATTGGCGCGCGAAGCCGATGTGGATGTATAGAGGTCTGCCTCAGACCCGAAGTCACCGGGCGTATCAGAACGGCTCAGTGACGAGACACTAGGGCGTCTGGAGCGAACTTTGCTTGTTACCGAGAAGGATGCAACTGACTGGGTGGCAGACATCGGAGGAGGCGTCTCTGCCTTTGGAGTGTCGACAACGCGCAGAACGCGAGCTTGACGAGGCACTGGTGATTCCGAGACCCGGGAAGCACTAGTTAGCGGCGTATTCGGTCGTGAGCTTACAGCAGTGGCGGGGGCAGCCGAGAGCTGATATGGCGGAGGTTCGACCTTTTGAACAGGCTCTGGGGCCGGGGGGGCATTGAAGCTCAAATCCAGTTTCATCGGCTTGGCCTTGGCAGCAGAAGGTTTGGTTTCGCTAGATCCCACGGGCTTTGGCTGAGCAGCCTTTTTCTCAGGAGTAGGGGCCAGTTCCTCCTTTGGCTGGGAACGAACCCTGGCGGCCGACTTTGCCACAGGCGAACCCAAGGATATCTCTGCAGCATTTTTAGTCCTGTTAGACGATTGCTTGTTTTCAGCAGGCTGTTTCGACGGGACGCCCGTTGCATCATCCTCCGAGCTTCTCGACGCAGCTGCTACTGAAGGGGAAGGGGCTTCCAGCCCAGGAGGCGGTCCAGCGACGGACGATACCGGGCTGGGAGACTTGAACTGGTCCTGGAAAAGTGCAGAGATAGAATGCCCCTGAGGAAGTGGCAGGCCTGGTGGCAGACTCGGAGTGCCGGAACGTCCTAATGGTTGAGAGTCGCTCATCAATTGGGATCGCATCAAGGCTCCAAAGCTGTCCACCGAGCGTTTATCCTTTGGCGTGCCGAGAGGTGGAAATTCTTCGTCATCTAAGAAGTCGCAGGTCAGCATCAGATGGCCAAAGCAAGAGTGCACGATGTCACGGGTCTGGTCAGGGGGAGCCTTCTGGAGGCAACGAAGACAGAAGATAAAACAGGAAAGGAAATCAGAAACGAAATGAGACTATGACAATACATGGCGGCATCCAGATACGAAAGGGCAGGCAGATAATTACAGGAAACGCTGTGGTCAAACTGGCCAGACTGACACACAGGGCGCAACGTCTATATGAACAATATTTGTGAGAACTTGGTTTCATGTAGAGAACCCTGCTTCGTTTTATGAAGACCGGGTCAGGGAGGTTAACGTACATAAACCATGATCAGACCAACGGCCGCAAAGACGCTGATAGCTCAGACCAGCTCGGGGGCGAAACGAGCAAACGTGACGGCCACCGAGCAAGACGATGAGCGAACACCATGCCCATATATGTAATGAACCTCCCGTCATGGGGGGCCAAGGAGGATTAAGAACGAAAAGACAGAAACACAGTTGATCCATAAACATAAACGCCAAAGGCACGCCCACCCAAGTCTCTTGTTCTTTTGAGAGCCGTTGCTAAATGCTTCATTGCCGCGCAGAAAAAAGTCGCAAAGAAAATTGAACATCGAATTGAAGGCGGGTTTGGAGCAGAAAAAAAAACAAAGCCCATGCCCGTCTAGAAAAAGAGTATGATATCATGTCGTAACAGCAGGGAAAGATATAAGGCAAGGCAGAAGGGAAAATAGAGCAAATGCAAAAAAGGGTAGTCATGATAAACAGAGAACATTAGAAGGTGCAAATGTGATCCAAGGAGGTGCAGAGGGTAATGACAATCACCAGCGGTTGAGACCGCCGCCATACATCATGGCGTACCCACCTTGACCCTGACTCCCATACAATCCTTGACCAGCAACAGCATTCGCCTGGTGCATCCTCGCCTGCAGGATACTCGGGTCTGCAAGATGTACTACACCGCCTCCAGCGGAGGAAGTGTTAGCATTTCTTTGCTTCTTCCCCTTCTTCCTCTGTTTTTGTGACCCGGAGTCGGAGGTGCTCCCCGCCTGAGGTCCATAGACAGAGCTGAGAAGGCCGTTGACAGGAGTCAGGGGAGGGGGAGTATGGTGTTGTTGGAGGAAAGGAAACATTAACTCACGCTTGGTATCTTGGTCCGGCAACCCGCTCGCATTTGTACCACTGCGGCCGCGCAGCAGCTCGCGCATCAATTCCGGGTTGGCTTCCTGCTTGCCACCCAACCCAAGACCGACATTTGATGTGAAACCGTGACCCTGTGCAAACATGCCGCCGCCACTGACCGGAGGAGTGCCGGCTGTCTTCAGCCCAGGAGGAGGTCCTTGAACACCACTGGTGTAGTAGTTGCTGGCAAGAGAGTGCTGCGGACTGGGCGCTGCAAGGGGATTGGGTGTGCCCGATTGCATCAAAGAGGCCTGGTTCAGCATGCGCGAGTTGGCCAGATTCTTGGCATTGGCATCCGTGAAGGAGAAGCGGGAATTTTGGCGGTTCTGGGCTTGCTGGAGCGCGTTGAGCTGGGCAGCCTGGCTTTGCAGAAGGCTCTGTCGAGCTTGCGCGGCATGATCCAAAGTGTTAGAGTTGATTCCAGTCTGCAAGGGCTCGACGAGGCTAGCCTGTTGGTTGCCTGCCGATTTGAGCAGCATAAGCTGTTGCTGCTGCAATGGGGTTAAGCTGCGGTTGTGGAGGTTGATGTTTTGGAATTGATGGCCAGCAGCTGATACAGGCGAGCCGATAGCCGAGCTTGTTGCTGTGCCTTGCTGCGATGGGGGTTGGATCGCACCATGAGATTCGCGGCCAGCACGACCTCGTGGAGGGTGAGCATCGTCTGGTTCGCCACCGAGCTGAAGGCTGCCACTCTCACGACCTTCCTCCTCTGCAGCTGGAGCAGCCGGAGCAGCCGGAGCCGCCTGTAGAAGCTCTTGTTCCCGCTTCGCGCGTTCGTGCTCAGCCTTCTCCCGCATAGCGCGACGTTTCACGCCTCCATAGGGGTCTATGAACGACAGATGATTATCGAGGCCGGCCGCATCATCCGATGACAGGCCAGCCGTCGAGAAGATGAACTTGAAGCATGGAGAGTTCACAGCCTTCAACAGATTATCCAGCAACGGCGTGCCTTTGTCGGCCGGGGTTTTCGGTGAAGCAGGCTGAGGGGGATTGAATGGTGAGGCATCCGGCAGCGAAGGAGTCTGGGCGGGTTGAGGGCGCTCTGGCGGAGTCGGCTGTTTCTCAGCCCGCTTGGTATCATCGAAAGGCGGAACAACTGTTGCGAGAGCGGATCGAGGACTCTGGGAAGCTTGGCTACCTGTTAAGCTGGCTCGTCGTGTTCGGTTGATTGCGGAATCCTTGTTGGCCCAGCTAGCAGACGACGGGAGCGCAGTTCCACCTGCATCGTCTTTGCTTGGTTGACGCCGTAGCGTTTGCGAAATTGGTTGCGCCGACGTCCGTGCAACATACGGTGGGGTGGCGGAGCTGGGGCCGGGAGCACCGTTGGGCCGTTGTTGTTGACTCGAGATCGTATTCATCGATGACAAATCTTGGCGGCTGTAGCTATCGCTGTCTTCGCCCGTTTCGTGCAAGAAGGTGCAGTTCCTATTATGACATTGCTCATTGCGCAAAAAGGACGAGCAGTACTTGGTCGTTCCGTATTGCGCCCTATACAAGTCAGCAAGCCATACTCCCTGAAACACTTCGATGCTAGCATACCTTAGAACCCGATCCCCATTCCCGGAGCCATCTACCGCGGCAATGCAAGTCGCAGCGTCGCTCTTTCTGGCATACGTGACGTAAACGCCAATGCCTTGATTTGGGTTGCCCCCGGGCTTCGCCTTACTGACAACAATCTTCTCAATATCCCCATACTGGCCGAAATAATCCTTCCCGCGCAGAGTCTGAAGAAGTTGGCTTTCGTCGCGTATTGTAGGGTTGAGGCCGATAACGTAGACAAGGTTCTTCTGCACAACACGGACACCGGCGAGGTTCTTCCGACTGGATGCTTCGATTTCCCGTTTTTCCGCTTCCTTCTTTTTCGCGGCGGCCGCTTTGCGGTGTTTTAGCGCAAGATCCGCTTTGAACCTAATGCGAAAGTTGTATTAGCGCCAAGAACGGGAAAACACGAAACAGGATCTGCAACAACGTACTCATCTGCGTCGGGCACCTTGTATTGGATGGTGCTCTCATCGTAGACTCGTCGACAATTCGGGCATCGGCCCTCTTCGTTTTGCGTCTTGATATTGTTGTAACAAAATTGGCAGATCTAAATTTAGAGTTAGACCTGAGGCCGCATTTCCCGCGCGATGCCATCGCGATAGAACCGTATGGAAAGGCCACGTACCTGATACCCGCAAGGACATGGTTTGAAGTTCTTATCCGACAAATCGAACTCTTCGATGCAGAGAGGGCTACGGAGACAAGAGGTGTCAGTTCATGCACACTAGAGCTAGGTCCGGGCAACGGAGACAGTAACACGTACCAGAACTCGTCATCATCGTCGATGACGGAGTCAATCAGTTGGCGACTTGACATTATGCGAATATTTGTGAGAAGGCAACGCCCGGGATATGGACAAGGGAGTCGTAGGTAAGGTTAAACACGAAAGCCCATCTACCAAGCCAGCGGAAGGGGCAGAGAGACAGTCAATGTAAAGGGCGAGTGAAAGGTCGTAATAGAGAACAATGTGGAGGAGATAAGCCTGGAGGAGGAGATGGAGGATTATGGAGATCGGCGTAGAGGACGAGGGACACAAGCACTGACGGAGAAATGCGTGGAGGCGAAGAGACAGAATCAAAGTTGAAGCTTTGATGTGTTGGTTTGCGTTTGCATGATTTGCATTTGTCACGTGGATCCGGCACCATCACGTGCGCTCCCGCAAAAGCTCCTGTGGACGAGGCCGACGTCTATCTTCCCGCCTCTCGAACAGCCCTCCAATTGCCTCACCACCTGTGCTGCGATTGCTGCAATAACCATGGCCGCTTCTCGCTCCGTCATGCGGCTGGGCTCTGGCCGCTCCCTGGCGTCGGTTGCCCGGTCGTCCCGCAATTGCCGTGCTTTCTCGTCGACCCCTCTGCAGCAGGTAGCCAAAGCGACCACAGCTGGCACCGATACCCCCAACATGCGCCACGCCGAGCGCCCCCGTACGTCAATTGATTTTTAAAGTGCGCTACAATAGCTCCTGTGCTTGATTGACTGACTGTTCCAGCTCCCGGCCCTCTCCGCGCGCCCGTCGTCAACCCTGCCGACAAGTACCAGGACAAGGCCGATAGCCTGCACCAGTATGGCCAGTACATCATGGCCTGTCTGCCCAAACACGTTCAGCAGTTCACCGTATGGAAGGACGAGCTGTGTATCTACGTCCCTCCCTCTGGCGTCATCCCCACGTTTACCTTCCTCAAATACCACACATCGGCCGAATTCACGACGATCTCCGACATCACCGCTGTCGACTACCCTACTAAGGACCAGCGCTTCGAGGTCGTCTACAACCTTCTCAGTGTCCGATACAACTCCCGCATCCGTGTCAAGACCTACGCCGATGAGGCCAGCCCGGTGCCCAGTGTCACTGGTTTGTATGAAGGAGCTCTGTGGTACGAGCGTGAGGTCTACGACATGTTCGGTGTTTTCTTCACTGGACACCCCGACCTGCGCCGTATCATGACCGACTACGGATTCGACGGTCACCCTCTCCGCAAGGACTTTCCCTTGACCGGATACACCGAGCTCCGATACGATGAGGAGAAGAAGCGCATTGTCATCGAGCCTCTTGAACTTGCGCAGGCCTTCCGAAACTTCGAGGGAGGTACTGCCGCCTGGGAGCCTGTTGGCGCTGGTCGGGATAGGAGACCTGAGACGGTACGTGCCATTTGCGTATTTTCAAGAGTAATGCTAACTATAGGTCCAGTTCAAACTCGCTACTCCTAAGCCCGAGCCGCCAAAGGAGGAGGAAAAGAAATAGAAACCTTATGTACGCGTATTTCGTTGCTTTCCTAGTTTTGTATGTACATACCACCGGGTCTACGTTAGATGGAAGTTTCGGTGTTTTCGATGCATCTCTTTATCGTTTGAACCGTACATCTTGCTTGCTCGATCTTTTACCATATTATCTATAGAGTACGGAGTAGGCCATAGCTTATACTGCGTAACCCGATTCAACCTCAACCCGATTCGTCAACGTCAAATTCTCTTGGCGCGCGGAAAACCAAAAAACTTACCTTAACTCCGCAAACTTTCCACCACCAACAAACACTCCCCATCCCAAGACCAGATCCCCAAGAAGAGAAAAGATACACACAACAAAATGCCAAAACGCAAGCTCTCCGAGGTCACCACCGGCGACGCCCCCGCGCATCCCCAGAAGCCGAAACTCACCGAGCAAGAATACCAGCACCTGAAACTCCAAACCACGCGACTAAAGCAGAAATTCGAGTTCGGGGTCACGTCGCTATCGCGCGCCCTCAAGGCAGCTCGGGGCTTCGAGAGACAGAAACTAGGACGACGACAGAAGACAGCCAAGGGCGGGCCGGACGCGGAGAATGCGATTGCGCATGCGAAGGGGAAGGCGAAGGGCAAGGGCAACGTTAGTCCCGAGGAGACGGCGAGACGGATCGAGGGGGAGATTCAGGTGTTGAAGGTAAGCCGCCTCCGCGCATCCGTTCGGCTTAGTTAGTATGAAACAGGCTCTAATTTGGGTGGAATGGGTAGACGCTTGACCCCGTGAATACGGCGGAAAAATACCTCTTCAAGCAGCTTGCGAAGACGAAACGGATTGCCGAGTCGCCTGTTTTCTACAGATTCAAACAGTCCAAGGAGAAGAAGATCAAACTTGAGGGGCGGAAGAGTACAGAGGAAGCAAATGTTACGGCGAGATTGTTCAAGTCGAATCCGGTGCAGAATGTTCTCCCGGGGATTATGGAGGGGTTGAGGGGATTGTTTGGGCTCGAGGGCGCCGCGGCGCCCAAAGGCAAGAAAGGGGACAAGGGGAAGAAAGAAGGGGGTGGTTCTGGGAAGGGAAAGACGAGCGGGAAGCCCGAGATCCAGAGCGTCGACGACATATCTGGCGATGAGTCCGATTCTGGCTCTGAAGGCGGCGTACCGGTTGCGCGAGGACAATCAGACGTGGACGTGGACATGGAGGACGCAGAGAGCGGAGAGGAAGATGAAGACTACTCCCACTTCGACGGCCGACTAGCCTCCGACTCAGAAAACGACAATGACGACGACGATGACCTCTCAGACGACGACTTAGCAAAACTCCCCCGCCGCTCCTCAATGTCCATATCCCTCTCCCCATCACGCTCCCCCTCCCCGCCACCCAAAAAAGCCAAATCAACCCCCTCCTCCAAAACCCCCGCCACAAGCACAACCTTCCTCCCCTCGCTAATGATGGGCGGGTACTGGTCCGGCTCGGAGTCCGAAGCCGAGGATCTCGAGGAAGCGCCGAAGCGCAAGAACCGCATGGGCCAGCAGGCGCGCCGCGCGCTATGGGAGAAGAAGTACGGTGCGGGCGCGAACCACGTCAAGCAGGAGACGCAGAAGGGTAAGGGCAAGAATGGCAAGGGTAGAGATAGCGGGTGGGATTTGCGGAAGGGGGCGACGGGCGATAGGGATAGTGGGAGGAGGAAGTGGGGTACTGGCTCGAATGCTATGGCTATGAGTGGGAAGGATAGGTTTGGGACTGCGGGTGGTAAGGAGAGTGCGAAGCCTAAGAAGCCGCAGGATGATAAGCCGCTGCATCCTTCTTGGGAGGCTGCTAGGAAGGCGAAGGAGCAGAAGGCTACTGCGGCGTTCTCGGGGAAGAAGGTTGTGTTCGATTAGTAGACACATTCATAGATATAATAATTATGAGATCCGATGTGACCATCATTCAAAACCTGAAGTAAATGTAAACAAGAGCGCTAGGAAAACACTAGGTATCGAGCAGTGGCTAGCGTATGCATGCAAGTGAACAGAACATTCTAAACAGGTCCCAATATCAAAACCAAGTCCGCGCGTTCATCGCTCAAAACGTCATCCACCCCTCCTTCAAATCCAGATCCCCGGGGATCCCGGTGCCCGTTCCTGCCCCAGTCCCGGTCCCTGTATGTGTCTCCGTCTCAAAGCACGGGATAGCCGTGAACTCGCCGAGCTCCTGCGGTAGATTCGAGACAAAATGATCGAGGCCAATATGCGGCATTGCGGAGAATGCATGGGGCGTCAAAAAGTCTGACGGCGAGGTAATATCGTGATGCGGTACTGTTGCGTTCGGTATATTAGGGGTCTGACTGGTAAGGAGACTTGCTGGTGCAAGGCTCGACGAGTGTGTGGGGACTCCATTGCCATCGGACGGGTAGTGTTCTGGCGCCTGTCCTTGGCCTCGGAAGGGGTTCGCCTGCGTGTTGGTGAGTGTGGTCGTCTGAGTATCTGGCGAGACAGGTCCGGTCTTCCAAAGCATCTCCCAGTTTTTGAAGCGGTCGTAGGCGGATTCGTGACTGCCAGACTGACCGGTACCTTGAGAAGCACTGTACTCTTCAAGTCGGGATATAGCCCTCTCAAGGGCCTCGATGACACTAACAGCAGATCTGGCCGAGCCAACGCCCATAGACATGATTTTGATCAGCGCCATACCCTTCTGAAGTGCTTCGCGGAGTCGTTCCGTCCGCTTCGTCAAGCTCTGCGCGAGGATAACCAGGAGCGCGGCGCGGCATGAACTAAATTCTGTAAAAGACGCACGGGCAAGGCCTGTTTCGTCTCGGAGCAGCCGGCAAAGGTCGATGATTTCGAGGGCAGCTTCGACGCAGTCTGTGACGAGCGTGGAGCGGTTCTTCGAGACACCAGAGGACATCGGCATCTTTATTGGTGAGATTTGGAACGCGGCGGAGAAGCCTCTCATGCTGCTGAAGAGGAATGGACGGCCGAGGAAGATCCGCGTGAGGCAGTAGTCTAGCTTGAGATGGAGGTTTGCTCTGAAGAGCGGGCCGGTTGGGTTTAGGTCTCGACAGTCGGTTTCTTCGGGGAGAGTGTTCCACCAGTCGACGAGGTGTTTACGGAGGTTGAGGAGCCTTTCAAGGCAGTCTTGTTGTTTGTCTTTGGGGGATTTTCGGAGGGCGCATCTGATTTGTTAGCAGGATCATAAGAGAGTGTAGAGGCACTTACATCTCGTTTGAAACCTCTCCGAGTTTGAGGGTTAATGTGATCAGAGTTACCATGTTGGTATGGTTGGAAACCTGGCCTTGTGGCATAAGGCCAGGAAAATCGACAGGGAAAGCAGCGTCCACGTCTGTATCTGATAAGGAGACCGGTCTTCCATGGAGAATGCTGACTCGTCTAGGGCAATTGTTAGTACGAGCAAAACACACGGTACATGCAAGACTCACTTCTCAATGGTATAAGCCGTCCAGAACAACCTGTTTCGAATCTCAATCACATGAGGCGGCAACCCTTCGCCGCTGTACTTTCTATGCATGCCGTTTTGAATAGCCATCTTCAAGGCAAGGCCAAAATAGGTGTAGCAAAGACCGGAGGTATCCAATGGCAGGAGGTATGTCCCGATTAGCAGACATGCCTGGACACTCCGAATAGACGCTGAAGCAATGATATCTGGAAGTAACTTGGAGGCGAACTGATAGAAGGTCAAGCCGACCTCGTCCTCTGAAAAATGGTCATCTGGATCGGTCTGGTTGGACGACAGGCGGTTGACAGGAACCGAGGACTCCATATGCGCAAATTGCGTTCCAATCGCGAGGACCATCAAGATAGAGCATACCGCACCAGCGTCGTTGCTTCCGAGGCTCCCGGGATTGACGTAGCAGGTGTTGAGTTTGTCTTTGAGCCAGTCCTCTTCGACGTAGAAGTTATTCGTTTGGGCGTACTTGAAGAACATCTGAACCAAGAAGTCTGCCACAAACCGGGGTGGCAGGCTTGTAACTGAAGCTGACACCACAGCACCAGACTGTAATTGCGTTGCGCGCCATCGCTCCTCGAATGGCTCTGCTTCGGTGGAAGCCTGGATTCAAATCAGCACAGCGGACAGGGACGAGGCGAGACAACCTACCTCCGGGGTTTCAGCCTTCATCCACTCATCAATCTTTTTCTTGATTTTCATCGAAAAGTTCAGATACGAAAACTCGCCGGAGTATTCTGTCGAGCGGTTAGTTTACCAGCCGAAGCGAAGCAACCACACAAGCCTCAACGCAACCCAAGACCGGCAGCCGAAAAGCAACATACGCGTCGTATTATCCGGCAGCGCCTTGATCGTAAAGTCCTCATCCTCAATCGCCAGATCCTCCAAGTCCTCATTATCCAGAACAACCGACGGCCCTCCTCCCTCGGATTCCGAACCCCGGTGTTTACTCTTCAGCTCCTCCGCCGTCTTCCGAAGCGACTGGACATCGAACGATATATTCGGTACATAATGCTGTAATATCCGTTCCATGCACCGGATCCTCTCTGCCTCGAGCATCTCATGGCGGCTGCGTGCGGCGGTTCGTTCGAGGAGCCTATAATCAAGAGGACTCCGTAAGCATCTATTCCCAGATCTTATGGTTGGGCGATATCAGCCAACTCACGAAATCGACGACGAGCGCGCAAGCCTCTCCGCTTGGTCGGGGTGCGTGAAGACGCATTGGCGGCGATATCGCAGGCATCGGCGGCAGGGGACGCCCCCTTCGCATTTCTCCTTGACGCGACGGCAGCCGTCGCAGCTACCGGGTACGTCAGTCGATAGCCTCCAAAGTTATTGATGCAAGACTGGGGTATTTCGGAGTGTGTGGCACTCACGCGCGCACCGCTCTCTTGCGGTTCTCCTCCGAAACGCGGGGTCGTTTCTGGGTGCCCGGCGCGGGTGTTGGGGCCTCGTCCATGGCAGGCAGTCGGGATCAAGGGGGGTGGATTATTAGGAGCATTGTAGGGTAGATAGAACCCCGGTGCGAGAGAAGGTAGTATTCAGCGTGAGGAGTGAAGGAGAGAAGATGAGGCTAGGGATTTTTTATCCGAATCCCAGTCTCACGTTCCCAACTGATAAGCGGCCGGCCGGTTCCCTCAGAACGAACCAGCGATCTCGATGGGCGTTTTCTACGGAGTAGACCTGAAAGTTAAAATTAAGACTATATCGCGTGCCTTGCAGCCTCTAAGGTTCTTTTATAGTTGTCATGGCTGTTATAGCGCTAGTTTGTCTTGGTTTCGTGTGATAGGTTGTCTTCCCTGTTATACGAAGTCCGCATTTGTGCCTGTACATATGACGAGAGTGTGTCCGCCGTCCTTATTTCACCTGTAGATGGTGTTTCTTAGGTACTAATGCTCATGGTTATCGAAAACCGCTGTTTTCGTCTGGTTCGAATTCGTGTATCAGAACTCCCGGTCGTCACTATGAATGCCGGAGCAAAATATATATTTCGGACACGGACGGGTATGCCTACTCTCGGTCAACTAAGTTGAGTCCCAACAGAGCATACGACTCAATATAGCAAGAAGTAGCTGTCTCGGTCAACAGTCTCGGCCGGTATCACATCTATATCTCTAGGTATTTAATATTAGTGATCCGGCTGAATGACCGACCCCACGTCACAGCAACATGCGGGGAAATGCCGACCCGAACTATAAGTAAACCACAGAAAGATCTCCTCACCAGGAACCCGAGCCTTCTACACTCACATACCTATACAAACAGTTACCAAAGTAAATCTCATCAACATGCCCTTCTACCAAATCGAGCACTCCACCCCCCTAATTAGACCCCAACGCAACGCCCTCGCCCTCGCCATAACAACCATCCACACCCGCAAGTTCGCAACACCCAGTCTCTTCGTCAATGTACGTTTTACAGACTCGGGAGATCATGTCAACTACGTTGGCGGGAAGGAAGTGAGTGCATCTACTCCTACAGTCAAGCAAATGCTCGGTTAACAAGGATAGTGCACATCCATGAACCGCGTCCTCGCATACGTCCGGTCCGGAGGAAGCCGCTCCAAGGCAGACTTTGACGATATGGCATTGAAGATCCAGGCTGCTTGGGATGAGATTGTAGGCACTGGGCCTGAGGAGAGATTGACGAGGGTCCTTGTGCTGGGTGCGATTACGTCAGGGTTGGAGAGCGGGTTTGTGCTGCCGGAGGCTGGGAAGGATGTCTCTTGGTTGAAGGAGAATATGGCGAGGTTTGAGGAGCGCGCGGAGAAGGGGGATGAGGAGTTTGTGGAGCTTGTGAGGGAGATGAGGGAGAGGGAGGATTTGCAATAGAGTCCAGTCCCGGTGTTGAGGACTAAAGATGGAAACGTCTTCAGACTGTCTATCCATATGTACGTGACCAGGTAGAGCTTCATGGGCCTAGAATCCATCAACTTCAACGCCCACCCCCCTCTCCCTCCCTAAATCCAACAACTTCCGCCCCGTCACCAGATCCATAATCCCCATGCCAACACACTTCATCACCACATTCCGGCCCTCCTGAACCCTAACCGGCTCAGGCTCCTTACCGTCCTCAAGGCCGTGACTTTGATACAGCTCGCCGAGCTCAACAAGCTGCCCCCCCTTCATACCGGCATTGATCAGCTCCCCCGACTCCTCAAGACAAGCCTCCCTCGAGTCAACAAAAACCGTCCCGCCACCAGAAAGCAACGTCTCGGTATCAATCTCTCGCATATGAGGCCTATACGAGCCGATCAGGGAGATGAACCAGGGGTTCGAAGTCCCACTCTCCACCTTAGACAGATAAGAGTAAGGAAAGTTCGGTTCCGTAGAGGGCGTGCAGCTGAAGATGACATCGGCCTTCGCCAATTCATCCTCAAGTCGCTCGTCATACGTCTCATTCCCCTCCCTTGCCAGCATCGTAAACTCCACACGCGGATACGTGCTCTTCAAATCGCGAATAACATCCCTCTCCAACTCCTCAAGCCTCTTCCGCCCCCGGTTCACGAACGCCACGCGCTTGATCTGACCTGGACACAGCAGCAGCGCCAGGCGTGCATGCCACTCTGCCTGACGCCCCGAGCCTAGGATAACGATTCTCTCCCTCATAATCCCAGCTCCAGCTCCAGCTCCAGACCCAGTAACCCGCACAAACAACGACATAACCGTCAACGCAGTCCGAAACGCCGTGATCTCCGCCGCACTCAGCAGACCGAGTAACTCGCCCTTGGGTGAAAAGATATTAATGACCCCGATGATCCCGTGCGACTGCGAGGCCGTCACGATCTTAATCCCCGTGCTGGATGTGTTGGAGACGGGCATGAAGAGCGAGAGGTTGTTTTCTTTTGTGGTGATTGCTGTGCGGAGGGGCTGGTGGACTAGGTGGTCTTCTTTTGGGGATGAGTGTTGTGCAGAGACGGTAACCAGGGCTTTGTCTAGGGTGTGTAGGAATGAGAGGCATTGGGGGCGGGTGAGGCCGCGGAGGAGGGTTGCGACGGCGGGTTCGGGGAGGAGATACATTGTTTGGATTGGGAATAGTCAAGAGGGATGGATGGGTTGGAAGCATGGTAACGGTCCAGGTAGATCTTAAATGGCGTTGAGATAAAGTTGGAGTTGGAGAGCAGCGATGTCGGAACGGGATCCGCGTCGGCGGGAGACCGATAGGATAGGTGCTAAGGTACGGAGGTACTCCACGTTGAGCTGGAGACTTGGAGTACGATGATCGTGAAGGAGAGAAAGGTAATAAAAATGCTTGTGTCATTATCATAACTGGAATACGCTATCTATATGCATTCCGCTCATAAAGTGGACTATCACCAAAGCCAAGGACGCACGCTAGACGGATATCTACCCAGAACAGGACAAAAGAAAAAAGGAAAGAAAGCCAAAGCAGTTTTAGTTCTTGCGACCAAAAGCGACACGGGCGCGGCGCTTGAGCTCGCTGAACATAGCCTCCTGCGACTGCTTCGTGCGGCCAACAGCCTCGGTGTTCTCAACTGCCCGACGAAGCAGGAAGCCCATGCACTCTTTGACGGAGCCCCAGGTGAGCAGCTTGTAGACGTTAGGTGACTCGGAGACTTTCTTCTCGGACTCGGCGGCCTGGAAACCCTGCAGGAGCTCGCAGCTGATCTCGTCGGCCATTCCCTGGAGTTGGGCGTAGCTGAGCTCGACATCGGAGGTCTCGCCCCGCTTGGCCTGCTCGAGACGGAGAGCGTGGGCCTTGCGGACGGACTCGCGGTTGTGCGTGGCCACGATGACGTTGACGGGTGGAAGGTCGGCGGAGTGTTCAGCGGACGCGGATGTGAGCATGTGGTTGTACTTGCGGGTAAGGAGGGCCTCGACGACGCCGTCATAGCACTCATCCGTTTGTTCCTTTTCGGCCCAGATCAGGTGGCGGGGTTCTGTCTTCAGGTAGGCTCCGCGGACGAGCTTGACGCCCAGAGTGTATCCTTCCTTGCGAGAGATCTCGAGGTGCTTAGCGAGTGTGGCGGGCGTGGAGCAGAGGTATGCTTGGTAGGTGTTGTAGAAGATGGCGCGGCCGGGGGTGCGAGAGTTGCAGTACTTCTGGTACTTGGTCGCCCACTCTTCGATTCCTGGCTGCACGGCCTGTTCTTCAGCGTCGACCAACAGGCGCACGTTTCGGGAGATGGCGAGGTCGCAGATCTGTTTGATTGCTTCGTCCATGAATGGCGAGGGCATAGCCTGGTTCTGGAGGTATTCGAGCGCTTGGACACCCATGCCGGTGAATCTAGCTCGTTAGCGACGCTTCAACAAACGAAGGGAGGAACTCACTTCAGGGCCACAAAGTCGCCTTCCTGGGCCATGTCGACCGTCTGGAGGGTACCGTCAAGCCATGTCTGAATCTCCTGTCGGCTGGCCTTTTCATCCCGGGGGTCTGCGTTGGACTCGCCGACAAGGACCTCACGGGCGTAACCCAACAGCACCCCGCGGTATCCCAGCTCCTTGATTGCGTTGATGGAGCGCTGGACTTCGAGCTTGTTCTCGCCCGCGTTGAACTGCTTGTAGAGGGTGTGCTTGACAAGCAGGTTCAAGAGAGGGTTCTTTGCGACGTCCAAAAGAGCCGTCTTTGGGTGCGCGAGAACGGAGAGTGTGTAGATGCATGGCTTGAGAAGGATAGAAGATGAGGAGACGGAGAGGATGAGCAGCGAGCGCAGGACAGAGGAGAGAGGTAGTTTGGCGAGAGGCGAGGCAGTCAGCGGCTTCTTAGGCGAAGGAGACTGATGCAGCAGGCTGTTGGTGTCGGCAGTTATGGAGGATCTGGCGTTGCTCGTGCGGCTGACGAATCTGGCGGCGCCATAGGAAGATCGCTTGCCAGAGAGTGCTCGCACTGAAGGGCGAGGGGTTGCAGCCTTCATCGTGGTAGGAGCTGTATAGAGAGAGTGATGTCCAGCAGTAGAAGGCAAATGCGAAGTTGAGTGAGGTTTGGCTAAAGATACAATGGATTTGTTGGTGGCGGCGTAGATTACCTAGGTGTTATGTAGCTCCAAGAAAGTATACAGTGAATGACAGGGACGGTAGCCGGTAGAGGCCGCTCCCAACCGGCAAGGTTGCACAGGATCTCCTTGCCATCGCGATACAGAGATCTGCTGATTGCAGATGATGGGGAAAGAGGGTCGCGGTTTCCGGTAAGATACCGACAGAGGCGTCGATTTCTATGAGTAAGGGACTCTACCGTCCTGTGGCGAGGATTTGTACGACATGCTCGTCTTACCTGATGGAAGCAGATGAACCTCTGTATCGTAACACTCCATCTTCCCATCTTCCTATAGCTTATCTCTGCTCTAGGCAAGAGCACAGACAAGTCTATCTCACCAACACCACCTATCGGAGCCGCAAGATGGCCCTCTGCTCATGCAAAGTAAGTAATAATGCAGTTAATAGTTATGCACACCGGCAGTGGTGATCGTGGATCTCAGATGCAGCACCGGTTCACGGGCCGGTGGCAGACTCCCCACCCGCCAGGAGCTCATGACCGGCCCGGTTGGCACTGATCACCAGACAAACACAGATCTGACTTTCTTATCTGCTATCTTGGCTCGCTGATAATCTTGCTCGGTGGATATTCTTGTCATCGGCATTGCCTTCCAGATGCGAACGGCTGCGCTTGGTGCCCCTTGGCTTCATAATGACTAGCCAATAGCGTTGCTTATAGTAAACCTCTAAATTGTCTATGTGTAGCAAGCGGTAAGTTATAAGAAAACCTTAACTATTATATGCTGTGCTAGTTTTAATTAAAATAGGCGTGTTTTAGGCGCCAGCCCTTTAGGTATTTAATATATTTTTTAACTAAGTAGTGCATGGCCACACTATAAAGCTATATATATATTTTAAATAAAAAATATTACTAAAAATAAAAATAATAAAATTTTTATATTTTTAATTTATTAATTAAAGGGCTTTTTTAAGGCTTGTTATGTTTTAAAAGGCAGTAAACTTAGTTATTTTTAGTAGTTTAGTTATTTTATTTATAGGGTTTTTTTTTCCTGGTACATGGTAAAACTTTATAAGGTATTATTTATAAATATTTTATATAAAAAAGTATTTATTAGCTAACTAGTGTGTAATAACTAAAATTTTTTAACTAGTGGTATTAATAATAGCGCTAGTATTATTAAAGTATATTATAATTAGCTTGCTATTTTATACTTTAAGCACCTTAATAAGCTTTTTTATAAATAAGGCTATTTTAATAGCCTTGTTAAATACTAAGAATTTTATTATAATAAATAAAGGCGCTATAACCACTTATTTCTTTAAACTTTATATAATAAAAAACTTATAAAGGTATATAATAAAGCCCTTGGTTAACTTTTTATTAAAATAATCTTAATAAAATATATTAAAATAAATAATTATCTTTTTTATATAAGTCTTAGCAAGTACTAAATTACTTTAATTAGCTATAATATAATAAATTACATGCTTAGTAGCTACCATGTTATTAGTAATTAAAAATTTTTATTAATATTATAAAAATTAAACTAGGTATATAAGGTTAACACAAGTCTTCCTAAGCTAGCTAAAAAATTTAACTAATTAAGTAAAGGCGTGAGCACTAAAAGTATTAAAAACTAAAGGTATATTAAAATTTATAATATTTAATTAATTAACTTTTTATATAATTTTAATATACCCCTTTATTATTAATATTTTTACTAGCCTAGCCTTGGTAAGGCTAAAATACTAAGCTATTTATTTTATATATATAACTTAAAAAAGGCAGATTATCCTATTCTTATAATCGCGGGATACTATTAATTTAAGAAATTTAGTTAACTTATTACTAACTTTAAGTTTATAAATCTTTTATAAAAGGCTAATAATAGTGTTTATATTAGCCTTTATTTTACTAGTAATTATATTATTATTTATATAGGTAATAATTAACGCGTAGGGTAACTTTTAAATATATATATAAGGTTTTTTAATAAGCGGCTTAAAGCCCTTGGCGTGTAGTAATTAATTAAATTCCTAGTTTTATAAGTATATAAAGTTATAAAAGCTAAATAAGGCTTTTTATACCTTATATATAAGGTTATTACTAATCCCGTGGCCGCGTGGCTATTATATATAAACCTTTTAATTAGCTATTCTTATATTAAGATAGGTATTAATAATATTAAATTAACGCTAGCTAAGCCTCTAGATAGCTATAATTATTAATATATATTTAATTACTATATTAACTATAACTAGATAAAAGCTTTTATTATAGTTTAATTTAGTAACTTAGTGGTTGCCACACGCGATAATTTAAACCTTAAATAATAAAATAAAGCTATTTTTATTACTTTTAAGCGCGAATACCCACTTGCTAGGAATAATTTTAGCTTTTTTTAGCTATTTAATAAGCTTTCACGTGTTTATAGTAACCACCATGCTAATATAAACTAATATAGCTTTTTTTTATTAATTAAAAAACTTGGATTACCACGCTTTTTTATAAAATTTTAGTATTTTAATATTATTAACATGTAATTTAGCTTTAGCTAATATCTAGAATTTTTTAGTAAGTAAATATTAAATTATTTTATTAAATATTTTAATAACTTTAGTGTTAGCACGCTTGGTTGCTTTAGTTAGTAGGCCATAGTTAATATAGGGTTTAAGGCGTTTAGTTAATAGGATAACCACTATATTAGGAATGTTGGCATTTATATTTATCTTATATAAGGTGGCCTTTATTATTAAGACCTTTAGTTAGTTAGGGAATTAGCCTAGTATCTTATAATTTAATATTTTTAAATCTTAATTAATTAGTGCTTTTAGTACTATATTAATATTTATATTAAATACACGTGGCTTAAAGCAGTCTGCCTTAAAAATTTATTTACATGTATTTTAAATATTATTTAATACTAATTTTAGTAAGTTAAGGTTATTTTAAAGCTTCCAAGGGCGCGAAGCAGGTGGGGCTTAGGTTACTAGTAAAAATAATATAATTTATATTTAAAATTAATTAATAAAATTTATTAATAATGGTATATAAGCCAGCGTTATTATAATGTTAATATTTTTTATTAAAGATTAAGGTGGCGTCGCCGGATTAAGGTTATTATAATAATTTAATAAGGTTGGGCTTAGCGCGCTAATACTATTATTTTTATTATTAATTAGCTATTTTAATAAAATCTTTATATTTTTAACATGTAAGCGCTATGTTAACACCAGGATAAAGTTAACTTAGTATTTTAGTATTAATAAGGCAGGTAACTTTAATTTAATATTACCACATGGTACTAAAGTTGGTTAGCGCTATAAAGTTAGGGATATAGTTTAAATTTAGCTAGTAATTAGTATTTTAGGCGCCTAAATTATTAAAATTAGCTTAAAAATAGGTATATTATTAAGTTTAGTATTATATATAATAGCCCCTGGCACTAATTTATTAGGTTAAGGCAGGGCATTTTTTATAAATATAGTATTAAGTAAGTAATTATTTTTATAAAACTTTAATTTATTAAATAAAACATGCTTTAAGTAGTAAACCCGCTTCCCTGGGACCTATACTTAAAAGATTTTATTATTATTTTTTTTATATTTAATTAAATAGCTAATTAAAGCTCTTATAGTAAGCTTGTAAGACTATTTATAATTTTTAATTAATATATAAATATATAATTTATAGCTATAAGCGCGGAAGTTATTAAAATAAAGTATTAAGTTATTAATTTAATAATATTTATACTATAGCTATAGGGGTAACTTGCTATAAAAATTTTTAATAATAAATAATTAATTTAAGGTTTTAATAACAGCCTTAATTATCTTAGGCCATACTTTTTTTAGTAAACTAATATTAATTCTTATAGCTTGGGCTATTATATTAATATACTAGGTGTATTATTTTAAAATCTTATTAAACTCTAGAGTCCTTAATAAAAAAGGTTAAAATATTAAACCCTTTAGCTTAGCCCAGGCCTTATACTTAAAAAATTCTTTACTACTATTTATTTTAATAGCATGAATATACTATCCTATAAGACACTTGTAATATTTTTAGTATAATATTAGTTATTAAAATGCTTTTTTTTTTTTAATATAGTATACCGCGGCTAATTAAGTAGTGTTATTAATAATTATAAAATAATAGTTAAAACCATTAATTTTAGTTAGCTAAATAAGTTATATATTTATATATTATAGTTTTCCTGGATCCGCTTCCCGCGGGATAGGCTAGAATAATATTTTATAAAATTTAGCCTTAAGGCAAGCAAAGTAGTTTAATTAATTAATAAAATTTATATTAAGGCCTTTTACCCGGGCTATAATATAAAGTTTAAAAATACTTATATAACTAAGGTACTTGTAAAATAAATTTATATTAATTATAATTAATTAAAAACATTATTTAAATATAAACTTTAAAAAAAAAACACTATGGCGTGTGTAAGCTTGCCCTATAATAAATTTATTTAGGCTAATAAAAATATTATTTTCTTTATAATACTATATGCTAAGCGTTTTTTTTAGCCTTTTAATAAATAATAGGTAAATAAAAGCTTTAGGCGCGTGATATTTATAAACCCTAATCTTTTTATATATATTATTTACACCCTTTATAATAATAATTAGCGTCCTGTGACTTTTAGCGTGTTTAATTACTTTATTAAATATTTTATATAAGTATTTTAAGTAGTTTAGGCTATATTTTATATAGTTTTTAAAGTTAAAGTGCTTAAAAAAAATAAACTTGGCTAATCTTATATTTATAAGCCACTTTATTAGTTTAGCAGTTATAATAAAAGTAAATATAGCCAAGAATTTAAAGTTAATCTTAGGCTTTAATTTATTATATTTAAAGTTATAATTATTAAATTTATTATTATTATATAAAGCCGTGGCCTGTGGCTTT